GGCTTCCCAAGTACACGCGATCAACTCCAGGCACCCTAACCTAACAATAAACGTAGCTGTCAAAATGCTGTCAGTCGGCGCGGACGAATTTCTTCAGTCTGGTGCCTTAATTCTTTTAAATGAGGAACACGCTGTGCTTCCAATTAATGAATGTCGAGTCCATACTCTGTTCGTTGAACTAAATGAACGTCCTGATAGATTTTGTATGTGAGGAGGGATTTATGTACACAACTTACTTGTAAAATATGAAGCAAAAAAAAAACTAAAAATACAATGGGAAACTTATATATCTATGTCATTTTTTACGTATATTCTCTTAGATATCACATATCTATCGTTGTTATTGCTAACTACGTTTACTATTACCAAGAACAGCGTAAGAAAATATATATGCTCTACTTTCCTGACATCTTATCCAAAATATATCTAGTACAGAAACAGAAACGTCTGGAGCTTAGATTTTGAAGATAACTCCGCCTCTTTTATGGAGCTGACGCAAGAAAAAGACGGTTGCTAATTTTACCGCGATAAAATACGGCATTATTTCATATAAAGCTCCTAAATTGACCCACACATTACCGGTAGATTTTTTAAACAACATCCTCCTGATTTCGACGGTTATTTATGATAATGGGAACGATATGATTTCTGTAAACATTGCGAATACCTCGCCGATTACCCTAAACTTTTTAATTTGACGTGATTAAATTGTGAAGTTTATGGATTTTTGAACCATAAAGACACAACAATAATAATAATAATTATGATTATTATTACAATAGTAATAATAATGATAATTTTACACTAGAAATAGAGGGCTAGTAATGGGGATTGTTGTCTTTCTCTTGATCGCTTACGAGGGCAGCGCCAAAATTTCCCGGCCTGAATATGAAAGAAACAAAGTAGAGTAACAATTTTTTATTATTTTTCAATATAATCCCCCTTAACTTCAATACGCTTATTACATCTCTTTATTAACAACTCAATCCCTTTAAAAAAATATTCTTTTGGTTTGTCAGCAAAATGAGCTAAAACAAATAATAGTCGCTGGGGGCCATATCTGGACTATAGGGAGGATGATCTATCTGTTTGAACCCACACTCTAAAATGGCAACTTGTGCAACACCAGCAGTATGGACGGGTGTATTATTGTGCAAAAGACGCACGCCTCTGGTCAGTTTTACAAGGCGTTTTACACGTATGCAGTCTCGCAATTTACGTAATAATGTTGCGTAATATTTACCTTTGACAGTGGTATTAATTTCTTTAAAATCTATCAAAAGAATTCCTTCACAATCCCAAAAGATCGTGACCATCACCTTTTTTCTTGATTGGTAGACTGGTAGATTTCTGTTCCGACGCACAAAGTTCCAAAAAAGACCGCGCACACTCGACACGGCGTTGTTTTTGAATAGTCGAAACTAACCTTATGCATACCTAAATGATCATGCAGGATTAGCAGTTTCTGAGATTTCCTTGACCTTTAAACTCAATATCACCTTTTCCACAATCGCAACATATCTTCCGTTATCACCTCCACTGGTCGACCAGTTCTTGAATCATCTTCAAGGGACTCCTGCCCCATTCGAAAACGTTTTGCCCATTCTTTCACTACAGAATACGAAGGAGGACACACCATCCAGCCTTTCTTTAATAATTTTGGGCGCTAACCCTTCTTTTGTCAAAAACTACTCAATTTGCGTTATTTGCGACATTTTTTCGGACACGTCTTGTTTAAAATGCTGTCAATAAAAATCTGTTTGACGCAAGACTTCAATTTTTTTTTCGCAGCCTACTAAGATATATATTTAAAAGGAGACAAAGATTTATCGTGATCTATGTCAGGCCGGGAAATTTTGGCGCTAACCTCATATAACCGATACCATCAAACATACTCGAAGTATGTCTCAACCACCAGTTCAAAAAATTAAAGAGTAATCTCTAGCCTTGCATTTACCGTCCAAAAACACAAGCAAATTCTTCATTATTTACTTCTTCATTATTTACTACTCGTCTCCTAAACAAAATTTACCTCACGAATTCCATATTGGCTGCATCGGATGGCGAATATCGACACCTCATCGACCCGGTATCGACATTTAAGAGAAAACGTTCCCATACGGTACGTACAAAGTTTCAATTCGCCATTAAAACCGAACTCGGACAATAAAACGCGATTAAAAATGTCCGCGAAATTTACGATTTAGCAAATTTTTGCAGCCGCGTTGCCACGGGAGTGAGAGAGGAGTTTTTTTTTCCAGAAGACCTCGTAAACCAGAACCGTAAAACTTGACGTTTATATACGCGCGTACAGCGCACGTTTTCTGTATCTATCTATCTATATATCATATAAAAATGTAGTTTATCGTAGCTTTTATTGGCCTTTTCTTTGTAACGCGTATTAAATTTGCCCGGTTCGTTCTCCCACAGTTGCGGCTACTAATTATCGAGTGGTTGGATTTACTTAATCGCAATAAAAATGTTCCGCCCGCAATTCAGTTGCCAAATCGATTTTTTTACCTCCTTCGTTGATTTTGGGCGGCTTAGTTGCAGTAACGAGTTTTTTGTTTAGGCGAGTTTTGAATTGAATTGCATTTTGTAGCCTTCTTCTTCTTCTTCCAGTGCGGTATCCACTAACGGATGTTTTCGATAACATTTTCCGTTGCTTCTGTATCCCTTGCGCTGTGTATTGATGACTGTACATCGTGTAGCCCTGTCCACTGTCTGATATTTCGTAGCCAATACATCGGACTCCTCTCCGACCTTCGATCTTGCCTTCGATTAGCAGATGCAAGAATTTTTTTCTTTTTTTTACTCTTTTTAATTAATTCAAACAGTTCACGTTGTTTGTTGACCGGACTTCATTGTTTGTTACGGCCTCCAATTTATTGCCTTTAGTGTCCAACCTGTTAAAACGTAAAGAAGCAAATACGACCTTATATTTCTTTGTCTGGTATCCATGCTTCTCAAAGCCAGATGCCCAGGTACTTAAACTTATCTACTCTTTCTAGGGGCTTTGCGTTAAATGTTATGGCGGGGTTTTCAAACATATTTAGGTTTCTTTGTTTTTTTCTTGTATTGATATTCAGGCCCACTGCTATCTTTTTGATTAGTTGTTGTAGACCGTGTATGTTATCGGCAATTAACACCGTATCGTTAGCACAGCGGACATTGTTGATCCACACTCCATTAATTTTGACTCTCATCTCCGCATCGTCCAAAAACTAACCAAAGCCGCCTAAAAAATTGCTTACGAAGTTGAACAGGAGCGGAGATAGCACACATCCCTATCCCTGTATGGGATTGGATATTATTGCCTAATCTGATGTCTTTCTGGTCCATATTAAGCCTATTGGGGACCTGCTGCAGTGTTTTACGCTATCAAATGCCGTCTCGTAATCTGTGAAACATAGACACATATCTTTTCCCTGCTCATAGCAGTTTTATACAATTAGAGCACAATCACCACTTGGTGTAGTGATCTGTCTCATAAATAGTGTTAAATATTTTGTGTAACGCTGTGATGCCTCCTTCATCTAGGAGCTTAAGTACTTCTCAAGGGACTTCGTCTGGACCAGCAGCTTTGTTACTTTTTGAGTTACATATGGCACCTTCAATCTCGTCATTAGTGATCGATGGGGCGGTTAGAGTTATTGGTAGCAGTTGCAGGTCTGTGGTCGTCGAAGAGGTGTTCAATATACTTTTCCCCAACAATGTTCTTTACTTTGTTGTTGAGTATTATCTGATTGTCATTACGTTCTGTTATAATTGATTTCGTATTCCTAAATATGCCAGCAGTCAGTGCCAATTAAAAGCATCGTGTTGATTTTGCAGCTATTCTATTTCTGAGCATTCACGTCTATGATCTTTGAATATCATTGTACTTGTTGCTGTCTGTTTTGTGGTCGAAAATTATTTTTGATTTTAAGATACCGAAGCGGCTTTGCACCAGTCGTTGCAAAAAAACTCATCGCATCATTATTACAATATTTCGAACGGGAACGCAGGAATAATCACCAACGACTTGTAAACTCATCGCCAATCGCCATCGCTGATCGCCAACATCCGGAACGGATAGGCACTTGGAGAAAAAAATATCATAAAAAAGATGAAACTTACATAATTCACATGCCATGCCAAGGTCTGAATAGTTTTATTTTGAATCTTTTAGGCAATATCGATTTTAATTTAGTCCTTCATTTCACGTATACCCCTTTTTATCTGAACAAGTACGTGTACACGTAAATGAGATATTTTTAAATTTAATTTCGCTAACTCATTTTCAGGTAAGAAAACTCAAAATTTAGATTTGTATTACTGACTGGGATGCGTACAAGACAGAGTTTTTGAGTTTCGAATGACGATGTGCATTATGCTCACTTTTGCTGTATAACGTTTTGTTAATTAAAAAATTGAGTTTTATAGCGTGCGGTTAACTCAGATAAGTTTGTTTTTTCGAATATCGTGTTACTTTGGTATTAGGTAAAAATGATTCCTACTATTCAGTGTTGGGTGTTTTGATTACTGCTATTTCGGTTTTCGTCGAAATTGCAAAGCGATATTAACGTTATACGGAAGAGCCCGAGACGAGGAAAACGATTAAAATTCATCGTTAATAGTGCGGTTTCCAAACGGACGCAAAAAAAATGGCGAAAAAAAACACGTTGGCGTTCGACCGGTACCGGGAAAAACGCGTTTTACGTAAATACATCAATTTTGATAATTGGGAACGATGAATCTTCGGCGGAAACGAATTGGAAACGATCGTGCAGGGAACGTCCGCGTCGCCTCGTGCGTGACGTATATGCAACACTCCACGCGCTGCGTCAACCCCTCTTGTCTACTCTACTACTCTAATGTCCACTGGAATAGCAGACGATATTTGAAATGCACAAGTTTTTTCCAATTTTGATAGTAAAAGTGAAGGACTGCCCATTGATACCATTAATAAAACACATTTTATACACATCTGATTTTTTTCTTTTGTAGATATGAAAAAATTGTAGGTTTATAATATAGCAAAAATATCGAACAACCTAACCTAAAGTATCTTTAAAATAGAGTAAGATCTATATCTTGAACTAAACTCTTAAAGAATAACTAATATTGTCATTGCCATTCTTTGAGGAAAGTAGCTTTTTTCAGCCAAGCAGCTATTGAATTCTCTCATTCTTTTGATGTTTGTGGTGTCTTTGCCTTCTTATTCGCATCTGAAAATATTTTAGTTTTAAGAATGACAGGTTTTATTTATATATATAAACAAATATATTATTTTTACCTTTTTGTAATTTTTTCACTTAGATGAATCCGTTTTTTCTGTGGTATTTTTATTAAAATAGCGTTTTTTGTCCCGTTCGTGTCCAAAAATAATAAAAACAAGTTGATTTTAACACCAAAAATTAAAAAAAACTAAGTATTTTCCTTCTCAGTTGTTCATAGGTTTCTATTCTAATGTTCCCATAATGGCGCAAGGCCACCTATTTAGAAGGGTATCTGTGGTATATCGTGTACAGTAAATCCATACCCCTTCTTAGCACTACCCAACATTCAAATGTAACGAACTCTCCAGGCAAACCACTTGGTTACTTCTAGTTCCGAATTAATTTGCTTCGCCAAAACATCTAGACATCCAAATGGCGCTTGCGCGGATCCTCAGCGCCGAGATTCCGAGGGTGTACGTTGAACTTGGGTGTACATAGACGCCTGTAAATTGGCGACGAATATTTCGGACGAAATCTCGTTGCCCCAATAAAAATGTCGCATCGCGTGCCCGATTTTACGTAAACACACTCGTCAATTAACGTCTAATTGTAATTTAATACTGTCCCGGGTGCCCGACGTCTTATTGCTACAAATTGTTGTCCTAAATATTCACGATGCGTAATCAGTGGCGGCGGGTTACGTCGCAACTCTACGGCGTTTTCCACGTCGAAATTGTCTGTAAAGGAAACTGTTAATGGCGGCCGTCTGTTTTTTTTTTATTTATTTTGCGTACGCTCGGGTTTCGTCTCCGCCGCCGCCGCCTAGGACCGTAATCACAACAAATTGGATTCAATAAAATCAAGCCCATTGTGGCGGATCGCAGTTATCCGCCGTCTCACGTCAATTGAGCGCCAATTTAACCAATTTAAGGACGGGACTTTTTAACTATTCATAAAATTTCGTGCGTCTACAACGGGACAGGCAACCACTGTTACGTTTACGCTAGGAATTAAATCATACGTAACGAACCATTTGCGTTAAAAATAACATAAAATATTTGTGATCAAGCGACGATAAGAAAAAAGCCGAGTTTTCCCGGGCTAGTCGCGTGTCATTTGTTTTCTCTCCGGCTACCGCCGCGCCGCCTCGAAATAAATCTCGACCGAAACCGCGAAACGATTTGCACATTCGAGAATTTATAACCGTACGAGATGTCGCTGTCTTTATAGTCTGATTAATTGCAGGCGCGTTAGCTTAGATAAAATTAAATAACGTATTGTGTCTGGCCTATACGTTTGTTTTACTTGCCAAGTTTCGATTCCCTATCGAAACTCCGCGCTCACAGCGCCACCTATTAGCGGTCGCGTCAAACAACCGGCATCGAAAGTTATAAATTAATCCGTCGGGCGGCGCCAGAACAACAACGTCCGAATTGTAAACAAATCGTAATAATTAGTTCAGGGTCGCGCGAACGGGGGTGCGAAACTTAAACGACTGCGTGACGAGTGAATGCGGGTTAAATTGCCGGCACTGAAACCGGTCCACGTAATTGGCAGCGTCGCGTGTCGCGTTTGTAAAACAAATCTCTAAGTAATTGTTTATCGATCGTGTCCGAGCGCGGTCTCGCACGCGCTCGTATTTTAATTAGACGTTTGTCGCGTTTTTACGCGATGACATGCCGGAGGTGGCGTTTCCGGCCGAACGGCCGCCATTAGGTCCGTGGTTGGCGAGGTTTGTCACTAAATTGAGAATTGAGAATAAAAACAGAGCTGAGCTAAAAAAAGGCTACTATTTTGTCGAGGGATCCCAGTAATGACGTAATGAATTGAAAAAGATGAGTGGGTTCCACTCTCTGTGTGCGCTTTGAGCTCACGTAGAATGGTGCAAAAACGGCCGAGTCAGTTTAATAAAGGAAAAATGAAAACGGCCCTTTAGAAATCACAAACAGAGGAGACTTAATAGAACATAATTATACAAACCAGGCACCTTTTTGCTGTATAGAATGATCTTCGATTGCTACAAAAAAACCCTGCAATGTCTACTTTCAAACACACAGTTAGTAAAACTGAATTTGACGTTTATCTTAGATGCGGAAATTTTAACTGTGATCACCAATTGAGATACAGAAAATTATACGAAATTAAGGTGACTTTTGTGATTGGTCGGGCTACGTAAATTCGATCTTCGATTTTTTTTTGTTATGGATGGTATGGTTATGGCATTCCCTAACATATTTCAGCCAGTTTCAACACTTAAAATTTTTTTTGAGCAAAAAATGGTATAAGCTGTTCCAAGAAGTGAAACAAGTGGTCTTGGAAAATCGTCGAATCACTATCAGAGAAGTGTCTGAAGACATCAGCATCTCTATTCACTCATGCCATGCATTTTTTCCCGAAGTTTTGGCCATGAAACGCGCAGCAGTCAAATTTGTTCCGAAACTGCTTGATCTATAATGACCCCGATATGCTCAAAAAGGTGATAACTAGTCACGCATCATGGTTATGACGTCGAAACAGAGGCCCAGTCGTCCCAATGGAAGAACTCAGAATCGCCAAGACCGAAAAAAGCACCTCAAGATCGATCAAATGTCAAGGTTTTGCTTATCGTGGCGTAGTACATCAAGAGTTCTTACCACAAGAAAACGTCTGGAAAACAATTCATGGATTTTACAAGGCCATTTTTGGAAAAAAAAACAAAGCACATTTAATCGAATTTTTTTTCGGTCGATTTGCAGGTGTGCCGCCGTTTGTTATTGTTTTGTTTATCGATATTACGAAAATATTGTGATATCCGTACGAATGTCAGCAATTTCCAATATGGTTCAATCGTAATCTGTATCGAATATCGGCAATATTGTGACAAAAATCCGGCCAGCCGTGAAGCTCGTCGATCCGTTTTTAAAAGCCCGAAATTAGTAATTCCCTTCGAGGATTAACAACGGACGTTCTCTAACCCTTCACCCCATTTTAAACCGGGCACGATATGGGGGCACCAGCATTTTTAGAATTATAGCTCTCGGGTATTAAATAAAGTAGTTTTTTTAAAAACGGCATCCGGCCAGCTCGTTCACGATTGCGCTAAGAAAGAACGCATCCGAGTGCACAACTGGACGGCAAAGTAGTCGCCGAGAGGACCAGTCGTGTCGTCGGCGTCAATGTTTGGGAGCTCGACGACGGCCTCGATTGGGCGACAGCGAAAATCCTCGTATTCCGATTTTAAAAAAGGGTTAAAAGATAAATAAGAGCCGTTTTTGTGCGCCCGAGGTTTCTTTTTATAAAGATTCGGTAATTTTAGACCCTATTATTTTGAGTCCGGCTGGTATAATTGTGTTACGTGCTTGCACGTGTGCAAATTTCGTTGTGCGAGGGAAGACGGAAGTTTTTTTTTTATGTACGCTTCGATTTAAATCCACTGGGAGTTTTTGATTGCTAAGGGAGATCTCGGACGTCTATGGACGTATCGCTGAGCTTATTAGTTCGCCAATCTTTGTGATTGGAACAGTAGCGTGGAACAATACTGCGATGAAATTGACAAAATAAAATAATACAACCAAAACTATTTGAATGAAAAATTATGCTTTTATTATAAAATTAATATAAGTAAATATTTTTAATTAATTTTTAATTAAATAAGTAACGCCTACATAGAGAAAAAGGTCAATAAATAAATACATTGCGTATACGTTTCATACCTATTCCCTTTCGTTCCCTGTCCTAAATATTTCAGTTTTATTTGAAAAAAATATATATTTTTTTATTCACCGGGTCACTACGAGCTTTAATACACAAATCAATTAAAAGTTTGGGAACTCAAGATCCACCATATCTACTTAAAACTAACCTCTCTCACTCGGTCGAGAACTGAAAACTGCAAAAATATTCAATATATTTCGCAACCACTTTAGAACTCGTTCATCCTGGGCAAAAACATTGGTGGCCGATTTTAACGTAAGCACGACGGGACTTGGTTTGCTCATTATCTGCGATTAACACCTAAAAGTGCATAATATGATGTTTATAATTCCCCGAAAACGCAATCTTTTTCATATACACAAAACAACGTATTCATTCTATATACGAACGATTCGGTTATAATAATATGGAATAGCTTTTTTTAGAATTTTTAAGCGGTCCGTTTTACCTCTGGTATTACGCAAAGTACAAATAACATCGTCCAAGGGTGTGTATTATTTTTATCATGATTGAGGATAATGTGCGCTTTTGAGAAATATATTGACATTTGAAGAAAAAAAAAAACGATTTTGAAAAATACTACTGTCCTTCGAGACTAAGTGGCTAAAAACAGGGGCCTCTGAGTTCGTTTATGGGCTGCGAAAAGCCTTACCAAATTTGGAATGCACATTTTGTTGCATCAGGGTTGTTCGGTGGTCTGTGGTGTTCTTATTCCATGGTCTTGAGAGGTTAAATAAAGGACTTGTAGTGGCGTTCTCTTTTATTATAAAAAGCCTCCAACACGGCACATTTTTCAAATTTATTTACACTAAAGAAGTACACAGCGGAAAAAATATTCGTTCTTCTGCACACGCATATTTCTCGTTTGGCTTCCCCGCACAGCTGATCAAATGCGGCAGCGCCTAATTAACCAAAACTAACGCGATGCCACGTTGCCAAACCGGCCAATTTATCGCGGATCGCTTAATCAAATCCGTCCTCTTTTGCAGCCATGATGCAACAGTCGATGTCTACCCACCATCTACAACAAGCTAGAGATCCGGCGACTTCGTCGGCCAACATGGCGCTGGCCAAGACGTCGCAGATGGATTACTCGAAGTACGTGAAAAAGTTCACGTCGAGCGTAGACTGCGGTAGCGCGTACTGCAAAGACCTTAATTACCGCGAGCACTTCCATTGTCTCGACTGCAATTCTCGCGTGTTCATCAAAAAGGAAGAGATGATCCGTCACTTTAAGTGGCATAAGAAACGTGACGAGTCGTTGCAGCACGGCTTCATGCGCTACAGTCCTTTGGACGATTGCGGCGACAGGTTCGCCAACTGCACGCACAACAAGAAACAAACTCACTACCACTGCATACAGGAAAACTGCGATAAGGTGTACATATCGACTTCGGACGTTCAGATGCACTCCAACTACCACCGTAAGGACAGCGCGATCATGCAGGAGGGATTCCAGAGGTAAGGGAACTTGGGGTTTTCTAGAGCTCTTCATTGGCCAAACAATATGGCTATTTTGCTCCTAATTACCTGTCCAACATCTTCTACCATAATACTGACATACAACTGTCCTACAAGCGTTCAAATTCGAGCACTGAGGCACTCAGCTGCTTTGTGGATACAAAAATATAAAGACTTCGTGACTTCAGAAATGACCTTCAAGTTTCGAAATACCCAGTTGCTGATGTTGCTAACAGTTAAGCTGAATTATTATATCCTACATATAAAAAAGCTTCTGGAATAGACGTCAATCCTTTGCGTACACGTGTGATGCCGTAAATGTGCTTAAATCTGAACGAATCCAGGGTGAATGGGAACTCGAAAACATTTTCTATATAATTAAATGCAAATCACCAATCTCTCTTGCAAATATGCACCCATGACACACAAGCAGAGCTTCTGTCATCTGTAAGAATAAATTTAAGTCGGCATAGTTGACGCTCGTCAGTGCGGACGCGTCTTCTAAAAGTCAAACTATAAGACTGATAGAGTTAATGCGCACGGCAGACCTATCTTCTACGCCCTATGTTCACGCCAGACTGATGGTTCCAACAAGTTCATAAATACCAAGATGCTAATCTGTCTTAAGTACACTTGCGACTCCCGAAGCGTCTTTTGAAAGACTGGACAATTTTATCTTCACTGGAGCCTGTCGTCTTTAAATTGCTTTCGGTCCAAATATTCCAAACACAGATTCCGCCACCCATAAAAACTTCTCTAACCTCCACCCTCAGGTACCGCGCCACCGAAGAGTGCGGCGCCAGCTACTGCGCCTTCTTCGGCCAACGGACCACTCACTTCCACTGCAGACGGTCCGGTTGCAGGTACACGTTCAAAAACAAATCAGATATGGGTGAGTCTTCGCGTCGCCGCGTCCCCCGTACAATCCCTTACACGCGCAATTATCATCTGCAGAGAAACACAAAACGTACCACATCAAAGACGAGCAACTATCCCGTGACGGTTTCAAAAAGTTCATGAAAAACGAAACCTGCCCGTTCGATAACTGCCGCTTCTCCAAGGTGTGCAACCACATTCACTGCATCAGACCCCAGTGCTCGTACGTGTTGCACAGTTCGGGACAGTTGTTCTCGCATAAACGGAAACACGAACGCAAAGATAGCGAGCTGGCGTACCGCAAGTACAAGCTCGCTCAGAGCATGATGAGGACTTTGTCCGACGGCAGCCTCGCCACCCAGCTGCCTCCCTACAGAGATTACGAAGCTCAAATCGACCTGGCCAACTTTTACAACAGCCAGCAGCAGGGCGGAGGGGGGATATCGAACGCTTCAAACACCGAGAGTCTCAGCGACCGCAACTCCCCTCTCAGCTACAACGAAGAGTCGGAAGCGATGGACCTCAGCGCAAGCGAAACGTCCAACTTCGCCACCGCTCAAGAGGAAATCGAGGACACGTGGAAAAAATTCTGTCACGTCGTGCGCGAAGGCAGATGCAAGGAATCTTGCGAGTACAGCTACCAGGATCATTTTCATTGCGCGGCCCGCAATTGCAGGGTAGCGTTCGCCACGCGGGACGGCGCCAGGGAGCACTCCCGCAACCACGAGCAGCAGGAAACGATCACCGATAATTTTTTCCACACGGTGGACGAGACGGACCCCTGCGACGAGAGCTGCGCTTACCAGAACAAGGAGAAACACTATCACTGCAACCTGGACAACTGCCGCGAGGTGATCCCGGCGTCGGACAAACCGTTCAGGCGTCTCGAGCATTACAAGATGCATCAGTACAGTCAGAAATTGAGCCTGACCAAAGACCCGTTGACGTCCACGCATTTGGCAACTTCCATCGACGGGATGTTTTGCAGGAAACGGGGCAGACCGCCAAAGAATCGCGTCATCGAGGTGTGGAACGACTATAATCCCGCGATGGGGTCGCAGAGCCTGATGGACAGCCCGCAGGCGATCTTCACGAGCTTCAAACTGCCCAAACCTTCGACGACGCCTTCGGGACCGGCGGAGGACGATGACGACGAGGAAGAAGAGGAAGTTGGTTCGAAGCAGCAGGGTTTCGACTGCTACGGGGAGAACACCAAGTGTCCGGACAACTTGTGCCGGTACTTGGGGACGAGCCATTATCATTGCAATCGGTGCAGGTGCCTTTTCGTTACCGACAAGGAAGAGTACCTCGCCCTCCACGCCAAAGATTTCCACGAGAATGTCGATATCCTCGACGGCTTCGAGTTTTACGACCGAAACGTCGATTGCCGTCTCCCGGGGTGCGCGTCCAACAAGATAAACCGGCACTTTCACTGCACGAGGTGCCGTTACAGCTTCGTGCAGTACTCGCAGATGGCGTCGCACAACCAGAAACATATAGACGACGCGGCAGCGGCACCACTCGGTTATCAGGCTATTATCAGGGTGAAGAGCGAGGACGTGCTGGTCGACAAGGACGAGGGAAACAGGCAGGCGGACCCGGCGGCCAAGGTTTCCGGTAAGTATTGGGAGTTAGAGCCGAGGGTGAGGGTTTTAGCGTGAGGCGCGCTTATATTCAGGGTGTTGTGGACGTGAACACGGATATTTGAATGGTGGTCGGTCATAGCAGAATAGGTAGGCAGCAAAATACGACGTCATTCTGCAACAGATTGTGTATACACTTGTATATGCAGGGTATATTGTATAACCACATCCGAGGTTTAACCTTTATTTATATATATATATATATATATATATATATATATATATATATATATATATATATATATATATATATATATATATATATATATATATATATATATATATATATATATATATATATATATATATATATATATATATATATATATATATATATATATATATATATATATATATATATATATATATATATATATATATATATATATATATATTTTTTTTTTTTTTTTTTTTTTTTCACGTATTTATTCACAGATGGAAAATGAGATGACACTATATTCCGGGATATCGGTTCGCTTGTTGAACTCCGACTGGAATCCTGCAGACGTTTCGCCAAAATCTCACTTCGAACAGATATATATATATATATATATATATATATATATATATATATATATATATATATATATATATATATATATATATATATATATATATATATATATATATATATATATATATATATATATATATATATATATATATATATATATATAATATATACAGTGGGGTTCCTACAGCTTCTGCCGCATTTCACATTTCTTCCGCCATTTTTTTATCTTTATTCCTCCACTCATCTTCTTTAATTGCTCTGTCCTTCATTATATTTCTTATACCATCGTTCCATGAGGTCATAGGTCTTCCTTTTTTCCTTCTGTTTTTGGGGGTATATTTTAGTGCTCTTTTTGGCCATCTCTCATCGTTCATTCTCTGTACGTGCCATACCATATAAGTTGTCTAGTTTCTATGCGGTCAGTGCTGGTATGTATTCTCACTGTTCTTCTTCGTATTTCTTCGTTCCTGACGTGTTCTACTCTCGACACTTGGCATGCTCTTCTCGAGAAATCCATTTCTACTGTGTCGATAACTTTCTTGTCGTTCTTCGTCATTTGCCAGTATTCTGCGCCGTACGTTAAGATGGGTTCCACAACTGCTTCGTATATTCTAATTTTCGTACCTATTTTAATACCGTTGGACCACAACAAGGAATTTATCGCTTGAGTTGCTCTTCTTCCCTGCTGAGCTCTATTTTGAATGTCTGTTTTTGAATCACCTTCGTCCGTCTTACGCTTCCCAAGTAGTTATAATTTGTAGCCCTTTTTATTTTACTAATATATAGTTCAGGATCTTCATCTTCGTGTTTTCCCCCTACTTTCATATATCCCCCAGTCCAGTCCCCAATTCTCATTGTTGAGTCCGGTTGTCATTAATACTTCAAACATTTTCTTTAAGGGTACCGTGTCATATGCTTTTTCAAGACTTTTTCAAAAACTAAATGGGTAGTTAAGTTGTGGGCTCTACGTTTTTCCATTACTTGTCGCAAGACAAATATATTATCTATACAGGATCTTCCCGTTCGAAAACCGCTTTATTATTCTATTTCTATAATATAATATTTATATTTATAAATTCGTAATCCTAAAAAATCTAGAATTCGCCGCTACCAGTGCTTCGATTTTTTTAAATTGTGAATAAGCTATACGAAATTCCGTTTACAGGCTAACTTAAGCCGTTTGGGATAGCACATCAGTGAATGAGGTTGCCGAAACCTTTAAAACGCCCTGTATATAGCGCGCCGGCGCTTCCTTGAGCGTCCCGTCTTGTGTGTCGCCGTGTATATATATATATATATATATATATATATATATATATATATATATATATATATATATATATATATATATATACATAATATATAGGACAATTGTCATTTGTATTTTTAGTGGTGAGGGCTTCTGGGACATTTTACCCTATATCGACGATACCGACCGAACAGACGTGTTCTAGGCGTACGCCCGATCAAAAAATTCATGTCATTACGACAGGTACGGAACAGTACTAACCACGCTACCGCCCCCCAAAAAATAACCTCGGAGAAAGCTTTTTCGCCAATTTAAAAAAATAATAAGCCCCGTCCCGCAAAATCAACCCAAGCACGGGTCCGAATGTTTAACCAACTCACCCCTCCACCCCATTTTTTAGCAGATATCCCTCGCTAACTCGGACACGCTGTATATGTATATTTGGGCCGCCCAAAAGTTCCGCAATAAAATTAAGCAACCTTTGAATTTTTGCTAGCTAACAGCTAATTTAGCTCACAATCTAACGCGATTCATTTCTTTTGCCATTCTCATTACCTCAAATTAAAAAAAAAACAACGAATGATAGATAACGACTAAAGTCAATAAAACGTAATTTGTTATGTTAAAATGGGGAGTACATCTTATTCCGGACGTTTGGGAAGCGTTGTACATTTTCTTAGCACATTTTAACAACGCATGGTGCAATCTCTTCGTTTTCCGCAGCGAAAACCCCTCCAATAGATCAACCACAACATTCGCAACTTACAGATCAGCCCTCAACCTCAATCCCAGACCAGTCTGCGGCAGCTTCGACTACCTTATACGGGCCGGAGCTGAGCTGCAGGCGCCCCTTCTGCAAGCTGAAACGGAAACCGCACTACCACTGCAACGCGTGCAACCAGGCGTTTTCTGAACTTGACAAACTGCTGCCACACGTGGCGAGACACAGTTCGGGGGCCCTGCACCCAGTGCCCGGCGTCGAAGACAACAACAACGCGGGCGAAGAACCTCCCGAACCGCCCGAACCTGGCCAACAGCAAAAAATCAGTGTAGCGCCGTTGCACAACCTGCAAAATCCACTGCAGACCGACAAATCGCCCAAGGAGCAGCAGCAGGAGACTTATTTCACGCCCACTTTTGACGCGTACAACCATTTCGGCAATTTCCCGTCGAATTTCGCGACGCAGATTGCACTCATGCAGCAACAGAACGCGTTCCTGCCTCAAGGCCTTTATCCGCAGAGTATACCGTCGCAGATTATGTTCCAACACGCGCAACTTATGCAGAGCCCTTTGCTGACTCACCAGAATCACGGCTTTCAGGTAATTGTAGTCTGTCTCTTCTTCATACCAAAAATCACAGTATACTGTGGTACTTACTGCTTGAACGATATTTGTATTGAACCGGTAATAAAAATTGGTTGGGGTTCGCGCTCTTCTTCTTTTCGATATTTTGAGTACCCTATCCCACGATTCTTCCTTTCACCGTAAAAAATGTTCTTCAGTCAGAAAATTTGACATCGCCTTTGGCGGCGATGGCGGCAAACTTGAACAAACGATCGCTCAGCCCGCACGAGATGAGCCCGGAGGCGAAAAAAGCGCGAATTCAGAATTCCATGAGGATCCTGAAAGACGAGCCCGTGCCAGCCGGATACCTGAGGTTTAGGTTCAACGAGGTACGCACAGGCATAGTTCGTGTGCGAATATTGTGTAAACCGTGAGTTTTTAGGATTGCAAGTATCAGCATTGTGGCTACCGAGAGCATCAGACGCATTTTCACTGTCAAAGGCCCGATTGCGGGTACAGTTTTTGCGACAAGACGCGTTTCGTGCAACATACAGCACGCCACGAACGCCTGGATACACTCATGGGTGGTGATTTTCAACAATATAGGGCCAACGTCGCCTGTGGGAGGCAAGACTGCGCCTATACCGCGAATTTAGGTATGTATCGTTACAATTTAATCATAAATCAAATCTACTTCTATTCAGCATGCGTTTTGCAAATTGACGGAGCGGTTCGCTAATTTGATGGAAACGTCTATTTGTAGATTTAGAACCCACATGAACTCTGAATAATTTTACACACACTCTAAGTATAAATCGTTAACATCGACTGTGACGTCACAATGCACTGTTGTCGTACAAGAAGTAATAAAACGTATAACCTATTACTTATATAAAATAACATTTTTCAAAGAAACTTTCACAGGCAGGTAATACTTTTTATAAAACTTCTGGGCTCCTCCTTTTAGTTCGAGTCAACAAAAGCCGACGCAGGAGGAATCCCGAAGTTTTATAAAAAGTATAAAATACCATACCATTTCCTCAAAACTCCATCTTACGAAAATTACAATTTTCTTTTTAAATAATAACATATTATTGGAATAAAGTGGTAATACTACCTAATTCCCACTTCAATTATCGCCTTTTTAAATTTTTCTTTTACAAAAAAGCACCTGGGAGTCCAAAAATTTAAATAAAACATAATTTTTCTTATAAAACACTTCTCTGAAAATCGCGACTGATCTCACAGGCGACAAACGTAATTTCTGCGGTTTCGGTTCCACGCCAATTTGATCTTGGTTAAGGAAATTCTCTTTCAGGTTCCACACAAAACAAAGCGTCTCACTTTCACTGTTTAAAGTGCGAGTTCGTATGCACCGACACGAACAAGGTGGTCGCACACAGGCGACAACACCAGAAACTAGACAGCATTCAAGCGGCGGGGTTTGAAAAGTTCACGCCGAGTCAGATGTGTCGCGTGCAAAACTGCCAACACGGCGGTAAACAGACGCACTACCACTGCCTGTCGTGTCAATACGCGGTTCTGGGCCTCGCGCAGATGTCCGCGCACAAGTACAGGCACATGGACGGCTGAAACGTCACGCTCAAATTCGTAATTCTAGACACTGTACATATATTTAAAGGGCAAGAGACACGATAGTGTACAAACTTCGACGGCGGAGAAGGTTTGACATATCATCCCGCTGCATGTAAATGTCTTGTAAATAGTAACTGCAAAGCACCGGTTTTTTAATGCAAAATGATTACCTCACAAGTCACAAGTGGCCGTTTTGACAGTTGATGTGTCGCGCGCGTCGTCACGGAACGATGAATTCGCGAACCGGACCACCGGGCTGACTGCGAGCGAACGGTCACGGACCATAGCCGCGCGTTAACTGTCGTTGTGATACGAAATCGAAAAAATCAAGAGGGACAGTTTCTTTGGTATAGCTTTTGGCGTAGACGAGTAGCCTATTTGATTTCGGGTAGAGTTCGATAGAGAAATAGCGAGGCCTTTTTTCTACAAGTAGATCCGTGCCTTAGGACAAAAAAGACATATAAATCCGTGCCTTTTTTTCGAGTACCCTTTGATTTCCTTCCCTTTAGAGGCGTTATAGGGACAAGCGGCCACAAACGGTCGGAACGCGGCGAGACTAAGCAATTCGCGTTCCATCATCGCCGTTTTTGGTCGAAACCAATTGTAGCATATATCATTCCACTACAATGTTGTACCGCATGTGCCATATAATACGAAACGAATATATTGAAATTATTAGAATTTTTAAAGCAGTAGCGTTTGCATAGATTTTACAACATATACAAATCGCATATACATATATTTATCGAAGAAACGTGTCATATCTTAACCTATAAATAATACTGTCATTATTTATTTCCCCCTCCCCCGTTTGTCGCGGCTTCTTTTTCGACATTTATACGTTTTCTTGCAAGTGTGAATCGTTCGCCATACAATTACAAGGTAGGAGGTCGTGGGAGACAGGCGCTTGTCTTCTTCTATTGTTTTATAGTTCGTAGCTAGTCTTTTGTTTGTCTTTTTTTGTTTTGTTTATACATTATGTGCCAGGCAGTCTGATTTTTAAGAGCTAACAAAGTTGGCGGTCTTTATTATAGTAAGTTTTTGGAACAAACCTGTGCTTTATTTTTGGTACCTTCAAACAAAACAATAAACTGAACTTTCGTATGAATAATCATGTAGGTATGATTTTAAGCATGAATAATTACAGAAACGTTTTTCAGTGTATCTATTATACTTAAGTTTATTTAATAATATTAATGAGTTTAGAATTCGTATGGATGGATCATTTCTATGTAAGATTGTATTTAGGTTATTTTACTGTGATTATGTTTTTTTTAACTATCAGTATTTAATAAAAAATACTATTTATAATGACAAAAATTCGTTTCATTTTCCTTACCGTATGAAGTAACGCAGACTACTCGCGTAATAATCTTTATATAGAGTGCCCACTAATTGATTCGAATTTCGCAGTACCATAAGTTTTCTTTGCCCCTACCAAAAGTATAATATTTAATACCGGTCATTGCACCTCAATCGGGAACACTTTCCGTAGTTATTTCGTTGTATCTGGTGAATGTTTCTATGAGTACCATCAAAAGTGAGCATTTATGTTTCATAGTTGACTTGCCACACTATAGTGAAAATTAATAATAATTTAGTTGTTTTTTTTTTGGTATTAGTCCATAGTTCGAGTTGATTGTAGTATGTGTCGGCTCGTGACCGAAATTAAAATTTCCTCGACTGATACACGGCGAGTGTTCTTGGTTAATTTTCCTAACGTTAAAAAGTTAAGAAGAAAGTTATTACGTGACAGAATGCAAAAACGATATTGCTTAGTAGTCTGTGATTCCGCGGTCTACTCACCTGATCGGACGGGTGCTTCCCCGTCGCCAAAACTTACGAGAATTGCTGCTTTGTTAAAGTATTGTGAGTCCGTTACTCACGTTGCCATGTTCGTATTCGATCGTATTGTGAAACTGATCAACTGGAACGGGGCGATATTGTACACGTCCGATATATCGGACGAAGAGTCCGATTCTGAATACTTGGCGGACCTCAACGAAAGTCCTAAATCAGACGCTGACAAATCGATGAACGCGACAGACGCCGCTGTCCGGACGACAACTATGCCGAGTCCCCAACACTTGTTTGATGATTTAGCACGGTTAACGCGTATCGAAGCCTCGCTCCGTCCCCACGAAACCGTATCGTTGGTTTTTCTGCTTTACGAGGGTGACATGAGGCAACTCGCATTACAAGAACTTCAAATCATGGTGTTGTCAGGCGGATCGCGCGATTTGCTGTACAACTGGGCGAGGCATCGTGATTCTGCGGGTGACGGCAAGTGGCAATTGAAAATCGTTGAGGCGTTGTGCATTGTTCAAAATTACAAGGTCTTGCGCGAACTTGGCTACGCGAAACAAGACGCGAAGGCCCGATTCTGTCCCGATGTCGAAAGCGTTAGTGAAGTTATAAGCAAAGACCGCAAGATGCTGTACAGGCTGGCGGAAAAGTTAACTAATCGTCAAACGGAAGAATTTTTATGTCGAATGAAGAAAGTGTTCCACGAAATTGGCTGGAGTTTTACTCAAATGCCATCAGGTTTTTTAGAATTATATTTTCTTGACTGGGAAAGTCGAGTGAAGGACTTTTACGGTAGTATTAGGAAAGTTTTGAAGGCGATGGACCTCGAAAGAGTAGCAGATTGCGTACCGAGGGTTAGAAGTATTAGGGCGGTATCCACGTTTATGGACAACAGTGCAAGAGGGCAAGGGGGTCATCTATCCACCGAACCGTCATCTTTATTGTCGCATACACCCCCCGTTAGGGAAGATGATTGCTACAGGATAAATCCAGACAATCCGGGCGTCGTTCTCATAATAAACCAAGAGGATTTCTACACGGAACCAGACCCACAATACGCGCACTTGTTGTACCCGGAAAATGTCCGGTATAAACTCGACACGAGGTTAGGAACGGAGAAGGACAAGGATAGGCTTCAGAGAGTATTTGAGCGGTTCAGGTTTGATGTGCAGGTCGAAACAAACCTGCCCCATTACGAAATAGCCAAAGTGATCGCGGATACAGTGGAACGCGTGAGAAACGAGTCAAGTTTGTTTGTGTGTGTGTTGTCGCACGGTGGTGAAGGAGTGGTTTATGGTTCAAACAGTTGCGCAGTCAAAGTGAAACAAATCGAAAGTCTTATGGTTAAAAAAAACAAAACCCACTTGCGTGGAAAACCCAAAGTTCTCATCCTGCAATCGTGCCAGGGCACTCAGTGCCAGAAGATTGATGAAGAGGACGAAGAGGAAGATGGGGGGCACGCGCAGGACGGTCCAAACGTGCCCTTGACTGCGGATATGTTGACGTTTTGGGCCACTGTGCCCGGTTACGCGGCCATTCGGAACGTCAACAAGGGCTCCTGGCTGGTACAGACACTGTGCGATGAGATGGAGGTTAACTGGGACAAGTATCATTTGCAGGACATTTGCACACGGGTTGTCGACAAAGTGACGCAGAGAAAGTGGAAGGAGTCGAAGGATTGCAGAGTGCAAACTAATATTATGACGCCCCTACTCGTGTCCACCTTCAGGAAGAAATTCTGTATGCCGTCACGCGGGATTTGATTGACCTACTGTGAAGACTTTACCCAGTAGAAATTTAATGACTGACCTATTGTTTTGGTTCATCCATTTAATAAATTATTAAGTTCCAGCGCGTATTTTTTTCATGATGGGGTTTTGCTCTGCAACTGCAACCTCAGTAATGTATAAGGAATAAGTGGTGAGTCTATTGGCAACGCTTCATGGTCTGTGCCAATTGTGATTAGGGATATTCCGATACTAGTAAATACGATTAGGTACTCGATACTTTTGATTCGATACCAAGTATTTATAGCATCGAATCAATCTTGGAATACTTACTCGGTATCGAAACAAAAGTACTTGGTATCAAATCGAATCAGCCTCACCATTATAAAAAAAAAAAAAACGATCGCATCAGACAAACATAATCTCTATCTGATCTGTGGTGACGCGTTGTCTTGCGCTAACCAAGCCGAACTCGTCCGACTTCACTCGACCGAGCCCGAGCCAAACGCGAGAAAGACGTCCGCCCTTCATTTTTTTTTCATTGTCAAACATACAAGAGATTGCTTACGAATAACTTTATTTATTGTAATCATCGGCTTATTATTCCAATGTTATCGTGGTGCTTTTCGTTTTATAGTACGTGCTTAACGGGACGCAAACGTTATAAGTTTTTTTTTCCTTCTTAATTTTGTTTTAATTTTTGTCTTTCAACGTTCGTTGTTAGTTTCCTTTCCTTAACATGCTGGTTGCAAAAAAACTATTTTTCGCTAATTACAAATTAAAATTTTGCTAATTAACAGTGAAATTTTCAGTATATTGTGTTGGATAAAATATCATGTTGTCCTGATGTTTACTTATATTTAAAATCAGTTACAATTGTTCATTATACATTGGATCTTTTCTCTACAATATTCAAAACTTTCAATTTTTTTGACTGCAAGTGAAGGTTTCCTATAAATACGTTTAAAAAAAAAATTAAGCAATATTAAGGTCATTCTAAACTTGGAACTTTACAATAGAGATAAGGAAAGAGTAACAGTCTGTATTCTACATTAAACAAAGATCAAAGGAGTTTCGTTTGTTTATTCAGAGTGTTTTTTGCAATCAATATTTTGAGGTACCTCCCCAGTGAAACACTCACTTTTTCGTCATATTTATTTTTAAACCTCAGAAATAAAAAAACATCTAGACAGATTCTTGCACCGGAGGTTCGTAACCTTCCGGTCTGTCCACCTTTGAACCTGCTTCACCCCCTCCTTCTCCGGCGCTACCCTTAGCGTCCCCGTGGAGTTCTAAAAGTTTCGACAGTTCGTAACGCGGCTTTTTCAGCACCTTTACTTTACGAATGTACACGTCGTGAAGGGGGTAAATACCCTGACAAGCCTTCTCAATGTCCTTTGCTATGCTGTCGGGAAGCAATTTATTCACAACCTCTTTGAGGTCGCTACCCTGAATGTTTCTGGTGATTATATCCACCATCTTTTTACGGATCGCCCTGATCTGCAAAACAGCAACAAACCTGCTCAAAAACACAATACATGACCAGTACCGATGGAATTGAAACTGTTCAAGCATTCAGAAGTGAAAATTTTAGGGAACAAGAAGTTATCTTCATGTATGTGTCGAAGCGAGCTGAGTGAGTCATCATTTTTCATTAAAAAAAAAAACACTTAAAAAAGCAGCAATAAGAACTAACCTGGGTATGCTGGGCATAACATGTTTTCCTCTGGGACAACTGGTCTTTTTGGGTGAAACCAATGCAGAACACCCTCAATAAATACCCGTCAGAGGTTTTGACGTCTGCCCAAGCTTCAATCAGCGACTGCCACTTCTTAACCATTGACCTAAGTTTGTCAGTAGTCAAGTCCATCCCATGGAAGTTGGTCAAAACATATCTACCTGGAATGGCCCCAAATCGCTAATTCCAAAAACAAATTACGACCGCTACTCGAATACCTTGAACGTCTTCCGCGATAAGTCGGAATTTTCTGTACGAACGTTCGGCATCGTTGTCGTTCTGTAAATCGGCCAAGCTCACTTCAAAGACACGACCTTTAAGACCCTCCGACGCGATTTTGGTACCCTGCGTGCGGTTTACGAGAGTTTTGCCCACTTGTCGCATGGCAAACATCGACGGGGCTTTCACATCGTACCAATCTTTCCTCGTAAATGGGTCTACGCTGCAAGGCAAAATTAAGTTGTTAAACAAAAAAAAAACGCCAGTTGCTCGCGGTTAATGACTCGAAAAGTTTCAGTAATTATGCAATAATAGGGAACAAGAAGTTATCTTCATGTATGTTTCAAAGCGAGCTGAGTGGTTCATCATCGTAAACATTTGGCAGCCACGACGAAAATAATCCGGTAAAGTCTCGGCAATCCCAACATTTTACATGGATTTATCAATTGACAATCGCGTTTCGTACACTACGTAATCTCGTGGTGACGGTATTTTCACTTACATCTTCTTTTTAACACCTTTTTTGCCGCCTTTCGACAGGCCTTTATTCTTCCCGACAGCCATGTTCACGAATTTAACGGGAAAAAGAAACTTATTCGATTTGACAAGTATGACATTTCGATGTTTTCATGGATAAAGAGTTGGTCGCAAACATATTACGTACACGAATACGCAACACGTGCGCACGCGAAAACAGAATTTCCATTGTACCGTTTGTGGTCTGTGAACTAACCAAAAATGTAGGCATATTGTTTTTATCCATTTTTTTCGTTCATGGAACGACCCATAAAACCCGATCCATCAGATTGCTGCCAATCGGATTGTAATCCGTGCATTTTGGACGTCTACGAACATCAACTTAAAAAGTACGAGAAGGCTTTAAAATCGACACGCGATAGCAGTGTCAATTGCCTTTCTCAGACTTCATATTCGATTTTTCGGTTAACGAGCGTAGAAAAGCATACCAAAGACACATTTTTTTATACTTTTGCGTTTGTAAAACCTGAGAAGACGGAAACACTAATCCACAAAGAAGCACCGTGTGTTCTTTACCACCCGAGCCAATACTTTATGCTTAAAGCTACTGTCGAGGGCGAATCACTGTCCAGAGCATATACTCCAATAAATGTGGGGGATCAAAAGAACCAGGAATTTACAGTCTTAATAAAACTGTACGAAAATGGCAAAATGTCAAAATACTTGAAGGATTTAGATGTTGGGAAAAATACACTTTGGAGGGGCCCCTATGGGGACTACGTAATAAGTTACCACGAGAAGTATATGCTGTTTATAGCCCAAGGTACTGGCATTGCTCCCATTTACACCATCATATGCGATCTGTTACAAAATGAAGAGTGTTTCACATTTTTAAAGTTATTTTTTTGTTGCGACCACTATAACGTCTTATTACGTGACGAACTGTATGCACTGAGTCATTTTTGGAATTTCACTTACCAGTTGTTTGTAAATAACGTGAGTTTGGAGGTAAAATATAACGAAACTGTATATTCCAGAAAATTAGAATCAAAAGATTTAGAGACATATTTTGATGGCAACGGTAAAAACGTGAAAGTTTTGATATGTGGCAGTGTGAATTTCAGTGAACACATCAAGACTTACCTTAGGCAATGCGGTGTTGAGCAGGAAAACATTTTTACTTTTTAAAATAAATTATGCTATAATAGTAATAGCCTTTTACTTTTTCAAAATACCGAACATATTTTAAGGTAACCTTAAAAACTAAAATTATCATTAAACTCCCGGGAAAATCGTAAAAAATAAAAAATCATTTAAGATCAGAAATTGTAGTCAGTGTGACCGGCAGCCTGCCGTAACAGTATATAAATTTTTTCCTTTATCCAGTCCTTGTTATACGGCGCGTACGTGTTTGTCGATTTCTGGTACACCAAGCAGCTCAAGTCTGCAAGCTGACAAACCCCAATTAGAATCATTTCACCTGTAAAAAACTCAGAAATGACTAACCTGATCCACAAAATCAAACAACTGAGAAATATCGTAAGTTATGGTAGGTGTATTCGGATTGCGTCTCTTAAGGTGCTCCTCGTAAATTCTACACACCCCTTCCATACACTCGTTTACGGATTCATAGTCTGAGTAGGTTCTAGTTTCAGGGTTCGCACCCGGCTGGACTAGAAGTATCGTGTGCGCCTAAAATTTTAACGGTAATTAACATTTTTTTACCAGCCTGTACCGATTGTAAATTGACAACGCAGGTATTTACTACCCCCAAGATTGAAATCTAGGTATAAAAGCCGAATTTCAGCGTTCCTTTAGCTTCAAAGAGCGACCGATTTTTGTTGGCAATAACATGCCCCGCAACACGATGACTTACCATTGCATCAAAATCGCGTTTTTGTAAAATAAACCAGTTCTCGTTTAAAAACTGAATAGAAGCTTTGAAAAGTCCTTTTACCCGTTTGGTCAAACGCCTGAAATGGCTTTCAATTTCGAAGCGCGGATCGCGGATAGGTGAGTCTGTTGGTAGTTCTTAAATAATCAAACTGGAAGCCTGCTCGACTTTACCAACGTTCGCAAAAAGTAAAGAAGAGCGAGGTACTTGGACTTAGTGTTGTGTCAATCGTTCATTTTACGAGGACCGAATCATTTCAATCAATACTTTTTGATGCAAACATAAGCGGCACTGAATCCGAACAGTCCGAACGACTGATTCAGATCCAGTTGAATTTGAATTATTATCGTGTCTATATGTTGTTTTCTGTTCTAGTTCGTATAATATTTAGCTGTGCTCTGCTTTTTATGGAATCATGATTTTATCAAAATAAGGGCTACGCATTGGGTTGTACCGGTAATACATTAATTTGTTTAAATTAAATACCTGTTTGGAAATAGACGATTCATTCAATATTCAATTCAACGCATAAGCAAATCTACCAATCGAAGTCGCAACTCAATACTATAGAATAATTATAACAATACTTCCATTCCTTTTCCGTGGCCTGTCTCAGTCACGCATTTAAATCTTAAACCATTCAAATCAATCGTATTCCGCAAGGCGAATTCGATTTGTGTGGTACGGTCGAGAGCGACAGGGTGATCGAATCGTTACCAACAAACGGGATTCGGTCGTTCGATCCTATCCAGACAAAAACGGCGGGGTCGGCACACTTACACTCGTATTCATAGTCGAGCGCCAGCCGCCCGCTGGTTGCAGATTTCCTGAAAATGTTCATTCTTATTTCATAGTCGAGCGCCCTCCGAATGACGCCTGCGCAGAACGGTGTTTTGATGTTCTAAGCTCTCGCCGGCGGGCGATTGGATAAGTTTATTTTTTTCGTTTCATAGTCGAATTTCGAGGAAAGAACACATGCGCTGTTTAAGCTGAACCGATTGTCTTTCGCCGGGCGACTGGAGCATGTCCCGACATTCTCAGGGCGACTCGCCAGTTGAATTTAAGAGCATAGACCTGCTATAACTATTATGGAAAACCTTTATAATATTGTCCGACTAAATGCAGAAATCGACGAAAATGATGACATTAATTTAAGAATGCCTAAAAGATATATTAGAGATATGCAAAACCCAGTTCAATTTTACAATGATTTCGAATTTAAACGTCGATACAGATTCAGTAAAAATGTAGTTATGGAACATTTAATTAAATTAGTGGAACCAGAACTATTAAAAGTTAACCAGCGTGGTTTACCAGTTTCGCCTTTAATAGCAGTGTTATGCACATTACGATTTTATGCATCTGGAAGTTTTCAGGTAAAGTATTTACTAATATCTATTTTCACTTTTTCTTTCTGTTTTTATTTCTGTACAGTAAATATATTTAAATAAATGTATTTTTTTAATTGTATTAATATTTAATTTTTGCAGCTTACTTGTGGGGATCTTGGAGGAATCTCACAGTCAACTGTGAGTAGAATAGTAAAACAAATTTCAACAATATTTGCAGCTCAAAGTCGTAATTCTATTAAGATGCCCACAACACATGCAGAAGAACAACATATATATGAACAATTTTACCAGATTGCGCACTTTCCTGAGGTAGTTGGCTGTATAGACTGTACGCACATACCAATCAAGAATCCTGGTGGTTTGGTTGCAGAATTATACCGAAATAGAAAACGTACATTCAGTATAAACGTTCAAGTTGTTGCTGGACCATCTATGAAAATTATGGACATTGTTGCAAGGTGGCCTGGAAGAGAACATGACAGCATGATTTTTAATAATAGTTCATTAAAAGCCAGATTTGAAGCAGGGCATTTGCATGGATATTTGTTAGGTGACGTTTCCCTTGTTTGGCGAAAGGGCTAGGAACTAAATTAGAAACTACTTGCGTGATAGTAGTGGCTTGTGCGGTTTTATATAATATAGGAATTGATTTTGGAGAGAACCTAGATGAAGTTTTGGTGGAAGAAAGAGATCCAAATATACCAGAAAACTTACAAGTAAGGGGAAATGCTCAAGGTTATGGAGTTCGTCGTGCATTGATTGCGCGTCACTTTACAGAATGAAATAGTTTTATTATATTATGCTATTATACATATATAACTATATTGAAACCTATTAACAAACCAAATCTAACTTTATTACTAAAATATATGGCATATTAACAATTAGGCATTACTTAATATAATTTAGAATAATTTTTTAATTAATAAATTGATAATAAATTAATCGTTTTTTAATAAAAGTTGACGTAATTCCTCCCTTTTTATTGATAACTCCACTTCCGCTATTTGCCTTCTAATTTTCGCCTCTTCTCTTTTTTCAATAGCTTCTTGTTTGTTTATTTCGTGGATGTCTATTAAATGCTGTCTTTCTAATTTGGCATTAACAATCCTCTCCTTAAAAAGAGCATTCAAGTCCCCACTCGATTTAGCAAAAACAACTTTATCTTTTTGCTTTGTAATATTTTGTAATATTTTTTTCTCATCCGGATATAGCCTTTTACGAGAAATAGAATCGCTGCTTAAAGGTGTTGGAACTTCTATTTCACGTGAAGCTAGGCTAACAGATTTTATCTGGATGGTGGAGGATGTGGATGGCGCATTATTATCTTCTGGTAATGATGACTGGTCTTTTGTTATTGTATGTGAAGGTTCGGATATATCTAAAAATATATGTAGTCTAAATTCGATTTTTTAAAATAATTTTGAATAAAAATAGTTGCACATAATGAATTTAGTTTTACCTAGAATTGTATAATCTTTTTCTGCTGATTCAAATTTGCCATCTGAATCAAAAGGATTTTCCACATGTTCCGTTAAATGCGGAACAACTTCATCAACACCAGGAATTAAAATTTTATCAGGCATGGATTCACCACCTCCTGTAAGCATTCTCGAACGTCGTTCCTCAGCTAATTCTTCTTTGCGTTTTCTTTTAATTTTATCCCAACAACGTTTTAATTGAACACTAGTGCGCTAAAATTACATTTGCATTTATGTACAATTTATACGGTTATTCAAAGTATGCTTCTGAGATTTGTGAGATAATACCCAAGTTTTAAATACTATTTCCATATTTAAAATTATTTGAGGTGGTACAGTGATATTTACCTTTTCTGTAGTTCGACTTGCGTTAAAGTCGTCTGTAACGCTGGCCCATGCCGCATTCTTTTTCTTAATTGTTGATGCATCTGTTCGCTTATCTTCAATGATATGGTATTTTTTTATAATTTGGACCAATACTTCTTTATCTTCTCGAGTATAAGGAACTGCCATAATTGCATAAAAATTAAAACAAAACTGAAAACTTTTAAAATGACTGGTTCGTCCTAGAACGATTATCGTCGACTAACTGATTTTATTTAGAAATTTTTCGATGCATTAGGTATTATGACCATAACGAAAAGAGGAACATCAAGACCCATATATTTCAACACAACCATAAAAAATGTAAACAAAATTGAATCGCTGAATATGCGCCATCCTCTTCGCCCGCCAGCGATGCGCTGGCGACTGTCTATGAAAAGACCAAAATTTTCTTTCTTCATGCAGGCGCTCGCCGGAAACATTACCAGCGAGCGGTTGTTTTCGGCGATTCGCTGGCGTTCGACTATGAATACGAGTATTAAACACTTCCCCTTCGGCCTTGGACCACAAGGTGGCCAGTATTCCCGACCCACAGAATATTCAATTCAATTATGCGTTTTATAGAAAACTGTTGCACCCACAGAATATTCAATTCAATGATGCGTTTCACAGATAGCTGTTGGGCACGACTACCAGGATCATTCGCCCAAACCAGAGAATTTCAATTCAATTCAATGATGCGTTTCACAAAAAACTGTTGGGCAGGCTACGAGGATCATTCGCCCATTGCCGACTTCCGTCGATTTTCGGATCTTCTATAGCGAACGAGATTGATTTTTGAAGTTCCAAATGTCGAGGATTGCCGGATCTTCTCCAGCGAAGGAGACTAAACTTTAAAGTCCTAAATGTTTTAGTTTTTCAGATCTTCTCTACCCACAGAATATAGACATTTTTTTGTGCATACAAGATGTTTGCTGCCGGCATAGATAACAGGACGCCCTGAAGCTGTTTTTTCTTATGTTTTATTTAAAATATCCGTGATGATTAAATACTTAATACAATTTTGTTCCGAAAAATCCGATAACAACAAACAATAATTTCCTCCCCGTTTTCTTCTACTTGGTTTCTTCTTCCCGTATCCCGGACAGTGCCGACGGCTTCCGTCGACTCCTCACCGTCCTCGACGACGACGAGGCGGTCGACTTCTGCGACGTGTCGGAGCGCGTCGACGACACCGACCTAGTGCGGCTGCGCGTCATGATCGACGCCGTCTCATTTTCCACCTCCTTTCTGCTCCTTTTCGGCGTACGGGGGGTTGGTTCGGCGTCGACGGAAGCAGACCTCAGTCTCGTTTTCATCTTGGTCGCGGAACTAGCAATGAAGCGGCTTTCGGACGCCGCTCGCGCACCGCCCCGCCCCCCGGTAATGTCCACGTCGAAAGCGGTCACGCCGCTTGCCTCGTCTCTGGCCTTAAACATCTCCGCCTGACTCCTGGTCAGTCTTCTGGTGGTCGCGTAACCGCCGCCCCCCTCTTCTATGGGCGTCAATGTCTCCGCCGACGTTGAGGCGTAGCCTACGTTTGTGTCGACGCTTTTGCTTCGCAGAGAACGAAGGCGTGACGGCATCGGCATCGCCGCCGCTTGTTGCTCCACGCTCGCGCTCCGCCCCCTCTTTTTCCCACATTTTGGTGTGAACGTTCTATCTTCCGTCAACTGAGAGATGATGACAGGGTCTTGGCTGGCGGTTTGCGTTTCAGTCACGCTCGTGTCCTCGTCTCCCTCCATCTTCTTCTGTCGGTTGCATGCTCGTCTCGCTGGGCCCAACGGTAAGGTGCGGTCCGATAGTGAATCTTCCCGCCCTTCGACTTCAACTCCTAATGCGTCCGGTGCTTTCTCTTCCTTGGAGCCCTTAAAAGACCGCAACTTTGCTTCCTCTTTCGCTTGTACCGAAGACGAACTATCCTTCTCTTCCGATGCCTGTCCTTTGTGTGGTTCATGTTCTCCACACCGTTCACTAATGTGCGTCGTCTCGTTTCTCGCCGACGTTTGCCGTCGGTTGTATGTTTTCCTCACCTGCTCCACCTTTAGTTTTGGCGTTCTATTTATGGCGCCCGAATATTTCCTCCTCACTGGACGCAACGTTAACGTGCGATTCAATGGTGAATCTTTGTGCCCTTCAGTTTCTGCTCCAAGTGCGTCTGATGCTTTTTCTTCTTCTTTTCTTTTTTCTTCCCCTGCTCTTCTATCAGACTTGGTTTTCCTCCTTGGCAACTTCGCTTTGCTTGACTTATCGTCGTTCTTCCCTTTTCTTGGACGCGGTCCATCCTTCTCCTCCTGCACCACCGCATGCGCTTCGTGCAATTCCCGTTCTCCACCTTCCGTCGATCCTCCTGGCAATTCTTCATGAGCTTCTGCTTCAAACCCGTCGGATGACTTATTTTCCTTCTTCCCTTGACCTGAAGGCGACAGACGCTGCTCCTCCTGTTCCGGTGGACCCTCGGGTGTTTTCGCATGTTCTTCGGGCGATTCATCGTCACCTTCCCCGTTCTTAGTCCGAAGCGAACGGAACCCTTGCTCTTTTGCTTCTTCGCTACCGTTTTCATGGTCTTCGTCGTCCTGAACCACCAGACGGTCCATGTGCTCGTCATTATCGACCGACTCTATCGAGCTGTCCGTATCGACTAATGACGGGATAGTACTGACAGAACTGCCAATAAACGCGCGCTCCGACTCAGGGACGTCGTCGCAGCTAGACAGGTCGTCGTAGACATATTCATATACCGAATTCTCTTCCTTAGAGGTCTGGTCGTGGTCGAGTCGTACTTCGCCGACCGCCACTCCCCCAGCAGCGTCTTGAATTTCTTCCTCCGGATCACGGTCGACGTCGCCATCGCAGCTGGACACGTCATCGTAAACGGCCACGCCCTCCGATTCCTTTGAAGCCTTGCGGTGGTCGTCGGGCACGTCCTCGCCGCCGTCGGCCACTTGTTCCTCGACCTTCGCATCGTGATTATCATCGCAGCCAGACGGCTTATCGTCGTCGCGTGTGTACAAATCTTGGGCGACGTCATTAACGCCAGACGCGCTGGTGAGTTTTTGGCCTTCACCGAAATGCTCGAGCAACTCGCGTAGCGACTCGTCGGTCTCAGCATAGTCCGAGTCGGACTCGGTGGTGGTGTCGGCGGAACTGCAGTATGCCAAGCTGGTCTGCTTGAAGGTGTTACGCTCCAAGACCGCGCGAACCAGAGATTTCGCGACCGGCGTCCTCTGGACCACTTCCGGTTTCTCAGAGTCGCCGTCCTTGTCGCCGCTAGACGGCTTATCGTGGGCGGCTACGCCTTTCAGTTCCCCTTGCACGGACGTCATATCGTCGTCGCGTGTGTCCAAATCTTGGGCGACGTCATTAACGACAGACGCGCTGGTGAGTTTTTCGCCCTCACCGAAATGCTCGAGCAACTCGCGTAGCGACTCGTCGGTCTCAGCATAGTCCGCGTCGGACTCGGTGGTGGTGTCGGCGGAACTGCAGTATGCCAAGCTGGTCTGCTTGAAGGTGTTACGCTCCAAGACCGCGCGAAAAAGAGATTTCGCGACCGGCGTCCTCTGGACCACTTCCGGTTTCTCAGAGTTGCCGTCCTTGGCCAAGCTGCCCGAGCACTGTAGAAGGGAACCGTCCTTGTCGGCAAATGTGGCACCGAGAGGCGAGGTGTCAATCGATGTCTCGCCGCTCTTTGAAAAGTTTCCGGGCTCGTTCGAGATTTGTTCTCTGCGACCGGAAGGCCGCGATAGATCATCCGCGGCGGCGTCAGGAGGTTCCCTGTTGAACAAGTCGAAGGGCCGTTGCGTAAGTATCGATTTGCGACTATTCGGTTTTCGTATCGGAGTCTGCTCCGCGTTCCTCGAGGACGCGGACAGTCTCGGGCTCGAACGTACCGGGCCGTTGTCGGAGAACGATCCTGCAAACGAAATCGGGATGATGTTTCGCAGGCCATGGGCGTCCAACCACAGTAACGTTTGAACTACCGACGGCGGGAATTTATGTGCGCCGTTTGGTGAAACGTGTTTGACGTTTGGTTTCTGGTTGTAAACAAGGCAATAAGCTGGTTAAAATGTTTAAATTCTTCTAAACGAGAGTATGAGTTTATTCTACTTATCTGTTCAATGTTAATAATAATAATAATTTCCAATAATTAACAACTCAATATTAAATAAAAATAAATCAATTTATAAAAATGCGAGGTTCAGTTCAGTGATGTATAACTGACCTGGTTCTTCCACCTAACCTGAAAACTTAAGGTCTAAGAAATGCAGAGGGAAGTCGTGACAATTAATTAATGTTACATGGAGGAACAGTAACCGCTAGACAATATCGTTTATTTGAACTAATACCTATTTTTATCTATAATTAACTAGTGAAAAATTAGCTTATTAGTTTTTGATGTAGTTATTATATTTAATTTACTTGGTAATTCATTAAGAAATTTGGTTATTACATAAGAAAATGACGGTTTGTAAAGCTCAGTCAAGTGACATGGTGGTGTGAGGGTCCCCTTATACCTAATATTGACAGTGCGCACATGACTTCTAAATGTTTATTTTTTCATGTAAGACAGGAGGAGTTTTATTCACCAAAATCTTATAAAACGAGCAAAGAGAGTGCATATATCTTTGATTTTGCATGTTTAGCCATCCCACCATTTGGAGAGTGTGCCTTATACTCTCCAATTTGCTTACACCAAATATCAGTTTCAAACACCAAGTTTGTAATTTCGTAATATGAAAAGTATCAATGTGATTCAAACATGGATGAAAGATAACATCACAGAAATTAAGCTGTGATAACGCTAATGACCCACACGACAATATTATTGTTTTTCTATTTAAATGACCCTTGTTTTGGTAAATAATATTTAAATCGAAATAAGCTTTTTGAAGGCATTTATATGTGTGATTTGAAAACCGCAATTCACTGTAGAATAGCCGAACTAAATTTTTTCCAGCATTATTAGCATAATCGTTTGTTCACACCATGTTCTCGAAATTTAATAACTTTTTCTTTATTGACCCTTACATAGAAGAAAACCTTAACGTGAAATGGCTTAATTCATACAACTATTGCAAATGCTATTTATGTTATTACATATATGACGTAAAAGTTCTTATTTGCTAAATGTATTTTCATAAGGATGGCCACCGGTGTGGAGTTGTCGCCCGCGTTCCTCGCCGACCGATTCCCCTCTACCCCTACTCCAGCCACTAGCTCCGCCCACGGCTGCCGTGCCTGCCGCTTACGTCATAGACGCGCGGCCTGGCGACGGGCATCCACCATTTTATAGAAAAACGGTATATATGTTCTAAAATATCTCAAGAATATACGTTCGCTTACATCCAATATTTTTTTAGAAACTGTTTTTCCAAAAATATAAAATATTTTTTTACATAGGTTCCGGTCAATGTGCAGCCATTACGTTGATACCACTAACGTATGATCACAAAAAGGCTATTTCATCAAAATTTGAATAAAGCAACTTGGGGATTGGGGGTTGAAATAAGAAAAAAAACGGATTTTGAGGAAACAGGAATTCATTTTTTTAGATATGTCCCGGTCTATGTGAAGCGATTGTGTTGATACCACTAACGTATAATCACAAACTGCAACATTTTTTATTATGATATTTTTTTTAATTCCGTATGAATTTTTTTGTTGATACCCCCACCCCCCACTTCATTCAGAGATGTCCCGCTTTGCCAATCTAAAAATCTGGTCACCTTAGGCGTGGCCGTTTGACCACACCCTTCATCTAACTTACTTTTATAGCTCCTCCTCGCTTTCGGTGATTGGGCCACCGGCCGCTGCACATCGGTTATGTCCTTCGTAGAGAGCGACTGCGATGTAACGGTCGCTTTCGGCTTTTCCCGGCGCAATTCCGCTTCCGCCTCTTCCCGCCTCAATTCCGCTTCCGCCTCTTCCCGCCGCAACTCCGCTTCCGCCTCTTCCCGCCTCAACTTCACCCCTGCCTCTTCGCGCTGTAACTCCGCCTCCGCGACCGGTGACGGATAACGCATGTCGTTGAATTTGACGTGGCCTTTCAACGGCGTCCTGGCCAGTGGCGTCCGCGGCGTCCTTGCCGTATCGTCGGTAGATGTCGCTTTTAAGATACCGTGGGGCACGGTCTCGGCGCGGTGCCCGACGTCATCGCCGTCGGCCGTCGATTTTCGCCGCACGACCGACATCCGCAGTAGCGAATGGACAGAGATGCGTCCGGCGGGCGTCTTCGCCGGTGTGCTGGTCGACGCCCTGGGGGTCAATCGGGACCTCTTGGGCGGTATCGCTTCCATCTCCACGTCCTGCTCCGCCTCGTCGATGACGCGCGTATCGACGAGCGGCGTCGACGGTTCTGCTTTCCGTGCCGCAGCGATCGGAGTGCGCAGAAACGGTGTCCCTTCGGTACCGGTGCCGTCATCGTCGGACATCCATTTCGCTTTCGACATAGCGGCCAGTATAAAGCTCGATTTGTAGCGCGCCCTCTCCGCCGGATTGTGCACAAACACCGACATGGGCGTCGGCCGATCGTCTTGGCGGTAAAGGTTCTCCCTGCGCGCGGTGTCCACCAGGTCGCGGTTCACGCGCGGCAACTGGTCCTTGAACATTTTGACGACATCCTCCATTGGATTCGCTTGGCGACGTCCCACCAAGCCTACGGCCTCGGATTTTTTCATTTTGGACGTGTCGTACGCGTCGAACGCCTCGAGGAAGCGCGAGCGCAGCAGGTAGTAGCAGACGCGCAGGTCTGCGCATCGTGGACCCGCTGCTGTTGTGTTTACGTATTTGAGGAACGCGCGTTCCTCGTCGACGCTCAAAGACCGATAGAGCACGTTGTGGAGCAACTGCCTTTTGTTGCACTCTGCAAGAGATCGCACAAGCGCAGGAGTATCAGTACGTTTGCCGGTACCGAGCGTAGGTATGAAGTGCAAAAAAATTGGGGCTCAATTCGTTGAATCTTGCGTAATATTGCTTTAGATAAGGATAGAGGAAAAAAATTGGTCGCGTTCAAGCGGTCGTAGCAAAGTGCTCATGTTGCTCACCGCTCCTTAGTCGCAATTGCTATTGCGAACGCGTTCGACGTTCGCTGGAAAGTTATTTGCCGTTTCCGTGTTTGACATATGGTTTCCTATTTTTGTTCGGGTGTTGTTGATATTGAGATTTTCTCGAAGGTATATCTTTCGCTGCTGCTGATTTAACAATGGTAACAATGAAATTGGTGCTAATATTCCCTTCCAGTTTTATTTTTTTAATTTTATTTACGGTTTAACCAGTTTACAAAAATTTTACATTCATTAAAAACAAAGAGAGAAAGACAGCAGTATAACAATTAGAAACTAGAACAAAATGTAACAATAACAATAAATAGAATGCAGAACGAAATGAGCGGAGGCTGCCGAGAAAAGCATCAAGCTTTAAACAGTTGCACGCTTTCAGCATTCTCGTAAGGGCTGAATAAACTCCATAATTTGCGCGATGGTAAGGTATACGGAACATTGAGTTATCACAGCTTCCGTAATATGCGTTAAATTGAATGCTATGTAAAAGTGTTGGACAATAATACCAACCATTCAGAATCTTATAGAGAAAAACTAAATCACTCTGAGATCTTCTGGTCTGAAGAGTATCAATATTAAAGCTACAATACTGTAGTTGATCTGAAGCCTGAGATCTTAACAATACTTTCAGAACAGCTTCGATGTTATCTATATGGCAGCCATAATATGGAGACCATACTACAGATGCATACTCCAGTCTAGAGCGAACCAAAGAGATATAAAGAAGTTTAAGGCAAGGTGGAGTAACTTATCTACAACAAACCCAAATACTCGCATAGACCTGTTTGCCACTACCGCAAAGTCTATTACAAAACTTAGTTTAGAATCGAAGCAAACACCCAAGTCTTCGGATACAAGTGACAGCCTCGATCTGGACTCCATCAATATTCAACTCAATACTCAACGAACGATTAAAGCTAATACTACAGCATTCCTTTACATTAATCTTTAATCTTCCACGTCCACGTCTCTCTGAAGCAGCAGATATATTGGATATCTTCAAATCATCCGCAAACAAAAGCCACTGCGATTCCGAAACTACACTAACAATATCATTTATAAACAAGTTAAAAAGGATGGGCCCATTGTGAGAACCTTGGGGGACTCCCGAAAAAATATCAATTTTACCTGAGACATAATTATTAATACGAACCAACTGAGTACGACCAGAGAGAAAACACTTAATTCATTGCACCAGGACCCTAGCTCTAAGCTTAGAGACAAGATGTACATGTAATCCAACCAACCAAACTCCTCAAAGGCGTTCAATAAAAATTTAGGAACCACCGACTGTATGCAAACGCCTCCATAATTAGCGGCATAGCTTTTATCGCCACTCTTGTGAATCGGTACCAAATACCTAAGGACAGGTTAAAAAAATGCTGTAGTGGCCTGCTCAAAGTGCACACACAATTCTTAATCAAGACTGATAGGATCCCGTCCGGGCCATGCGAAAATCCAGTCTGTACGTTCATAATACTCTCTGTATATTGTCTTTGCTGTGTAGGTTTTTTTCCATTTCCAACCCAATATCTCTTTATCGAAAATTAGCGAAAATATATTATGCAAATAACTTAAAACTGCTTATCTATTTCGTGTGAGTGTAATTGCGCTTGTATGAAAAAAGACATACCTTGACACGATCTTCGAAAACTCGAGGAGTATTTGAGAAAACTTTTGTGTAAATACTAATATAAATAATAACAAATAAAATATATTTATTATGCTGGCAATTCATACTCACCATCACTGTCCAATACACACTATCAGAACCAGATTCTGCCATTACAGATCGCTTCGCTACCGCTACCTAGCACAAAATAAACCCAAAAAACGTCCAACACTTTTTCCATCGCACTCTATCGTTACATATCGGGAGCGCTTTACTACGTCCGCCGAATGCGACCACTCAAAAGGCAAGAAATCGTTCGCGGTGCTGAGAGAAAAAGTTGTAAGGTAAGGTCAATTAAAATAAGGAGTATACTTCAACCAGAAATATAGTGCTTTTACAACCGACACTGTGAATAACTTTGACTACGGTTTATTACCAGTAACCATTCCAGGGCCGTCCTAGGAATTTATATACCTACAACTAACAAGTGGAATATAAGTAAGTTTTCAATCCTTTTCGCCGAGTAAAGTATCAGTATATCACTATATTTTAGAATCGATTTTGTGGTCTTTATTAAAATGTGCACACAAAACAAAAATGATTATTTTCAAACTTACTTGCAGGATAAATAAAATAAATGGGTTTTGCCAAGGTCCTGCGAAGGCCTGCCTGCGTTTAAGGTACAGTAAAATACTTAAAACGTCAAAGAAATAAATGCGCTACATTTTTGGTCGCGGGTTTCGAGATAAAACGACAAATACCGTTAAAAATGTGCATCATGAGCGCGTCATCGTCGTCGCGGCCGCGATGACGTCGCTCGAACTCGAACGCCTCGTGGACCATGTTCTTCGAAATCAGCAAGCTGAGCACGGTCGCCACATCAACGTGGTCCGTTACCGGTGGCTTCGCTACCTAACAAAGAAAAAGCTGAACAGGGAGAAAATTTCCCGCCGGGACATACGCACGCGAAAGTACAGCAACGCGAGTTCGTGCTGCTCGTGGAGCAGGAGTGACCTCATCATCAACGTGTGGTGCCAGTGGTGTAGATCGTCGGACGAAACGCACGGCGCCGTAATGTATTTCACAGCCGTCTAAGAAAAAAAAAAAAAGCGAAGTAATAACGCGCGGCTGAGGCGACCCGAGGGGGGTCGCGCCTCCTCACTTGGTAATTGTCGTGGTCCAAGTGCCAAAACGCCTCTACTATCTTGGCGACGCTCTGGTCGAGTCCGAATATCTGTGGAAACCGGAACAAGAGCGTAGCATCGCGGGAGTCCGCGGTCGCCGAGACGTCAAGTAGCGCGTACATGACCAGGCTGTGCTTGAAGCAGAGCTCGATGCCGTCAGCAAGGTAAACCCCCAAAACGGACTGCAGCGATGGTGGTGGGTACGATCCGGTACCGCCGTCCTCTCGCCATCGTTCCCCCACCGTCTCCGAATGTTTATCGACGAGATTATCGATAAACAGTTCGACGGTTCCATCGCTTAGCTGACGTCTCTGCGCCCTTTTCTCGTCGTACCACCGCGTTAACTCCAGGATTCGATGGCGGGTCGCGGGACCTTCGGGTAGGAGTCCCACGTTAACCATCCAAAGGACCAGGTCGAAGTAGACGGCGAGATTTTTCAGGCAGCGCCGTCCCTCCAAGATCGCCTCCCGTTCGCCCACGAAACCGAGCAGACGGTCGGCTACGTGCTCGTTGAGGGCGACCAAGTCGCCGATCTGACAAGCCGCGTGACTGATGATCATGAGGGCGTGGTCGTCGAGTCGCGTGCCCGAATGGTCGAACAGACACGTGAAGTACGCATCGCAGGACGCTTTGAGGGAAGCGGCGCGCCGAAACGCCCACCTCATCAGGCCGTCGATTGTTAAACCGCTGGCGTGGAACGCCGCGTTCGCCAGTTTCGTCGCGCACGCGCACAACCAACCGACTAATTTCTGTTCGAGCGCGACACTCAGCAGAACATCCCGCTGTGATTCCTGCGTTCGCAGAATGTGAAAAAACGCTGATAACCAAAGTTCTTAGCAATCCTTACCGTGTCGTTCGAACTACTGACAGAGACGTCGCAGAACAATGGGGCTAGGCCCAGAGCGAGCGCCCTCTCGTAGTAGTTCCGCGGTCTGACGAGGCTCAGATGGGCGTCGGCGACCAAATCGTCGGCGAACGCGGCCTGTGCGCACCTGCTGCGCAGTTTAGTCGCGCCCCCGACCCCCACACCGACCAGATCAAAGCTGAGGGCTGTGGGGAAAAAATGCTCCTCCAAATTTTGGACGCCGACGAATTGAACGAGCGACTTGACATTCAGTTTGACGTCGAGCAAAGGGTAATCTGCGCAACGACGAGCGAGGACGTAGACGGAACAACGAGACCAATCGGGCGCCGAAGGCATCTGCTCCTTGTACCACTGGTCGAGGTCGAAGATGAGCGCATGGGTCTCTGCTTTGTCTCCTGCATCCCACAATGTCCATGATACGAGACAAAGAGATATGGTGTGCGTGCTCCTGTGCACGAAACGTTTGCTGACGGTTTGTAGGCCGAGGCACGAGCCGCCCCTGATGTGCCGTTTTAGTTCCGTGCCGCTAGCGCCGCCCAGTTCGATTTCGAATCGCAGAGAGCAGTGTTGGAAATTCTGCGAAACGGAGAGACGCTTTTGGTCCTTCGAGCCGGATAGCTCTAGCGGTCGAGTCGAAAATTTACCACTTGACGCATGCGAGATCGATAAAAATGTGTTCGTCAAGCCCGTTCGCCGCGAACATATTATGCGACAAATCGACTAGTGCAATTTCATTGGTGAATGAAATATTTAGCGCGATGAACCATGTTTAATTTCGTTGAATAATTTTTACATTTTGTGTGATATTATTAGTGTTTTTTGGTTAGTTTTTGTTATTTTTCTGTTGAACTGTCCTCTAGGATGTCGATTATATAGGCGAGGGATTATTTTCACTTTTGGTTAGTTTTTGTTAGCTTCTGTTATTTTTTGTTGATACCTAACAGTCGTCAAGGATGTCGATTATAGAGACGGAGGATTTGTTTCATTTGTGCTTTGTTTTGGTTAGCCTCTGTTATTCTTTTGTTGCTGCTCAACCGTCCTTTAGGATGTTGATTATATTGTACCTCTTCAAGGAATACCCGAATACGATACTTAACGATTTTTAAATTATTTCGATCAATTGACACAAAAAAGGTTGGTCAATCAATTTCTTGGCAGGTTCTACACTTGCTAGACGGCCTACGGGTCTTGTTTTACTTCCCGTTGTTATGCCGACTTTAAGCAACAAAACTTTCTCAACCTGTACTTATCTTTATAACCTTCTATTGTTGTCAACGATTTTTGACAGTTATAATGATCATACCAAATTTTCTATTTTTGGCCAGTAATGAATGACAACTCCTTTATTATTATTAGCATTTGTTGATGGTTGTGAAACAAAAGGCTAGTAAATGAAATAATTTAATTGCTTCACAAACAAAAGTCAATACCATGTGTGGTACTTTTGGCTTGAAATATTTTCCGATTGGTATTTGTTAAAAAAAAAAAATGCATTCCTTCATCCCTCATTGCCCAATACTTTTGTTTAATAAATTTGTCCAATATTTTCCTACCTCTATTTCAAAGTGATTCTGCACTGCCTCCAGAGAATTTATAAGAGCCGATTCATTTATGGTCTTTCACTAAACGGAACATCCAAGCGGTCCGATATTTTACGAGATTTAGCACATAGGAAATAAAAAATCGTTTTCTTCTGTTCGGATTAATTGAACTACCGAGCGTTAAAGGTCAAAACGGCGCAGTCGGTTACGTTCACACGTAAAACAATTACCTGATACATATGGGCGTGGCCGTCGACGCCGCTCTTGGCGCCATAGTGCAGCGAGTACATCACGGCGTAGGGGAAACCGGCGCGGCAGGCCGCCCCTTGACCGTACGACACCCACAGATAGCAGTAGGCTTTCGGGTCGTCGCTCGGCTCCTGCAAGGCGAACCCGGTTACCGGGATGAGTTCCTCGCATACCGGTGAGGTGTACACGAGCCCCATAACCTCCAAATCCCATAGTTGAAAGGCGCCGAAATTGTAGCCCACCACCAGACAAGCAATCTGGGGCGAATAGTATGTCGCGCTCACTTCCGTTTCCGATTTGTTGACGTGCACCCTGTCCTCGCCCTTTTCGCCCTTGAGGGCGAAGTGCCCCTTGGACGTGTGCACCTCTGAAACGCCCAAAGCACTTTCTTTACAATTACCACAAATTATACAGGTCTACAAAATTAAACTTTTTGACAGATTATTTTGAAAACTGATGTTATGTAATTTTGGTAGGCTCTTTCCATGCATTTAGTTGTATCACATAAGGTTTTCTGCAAATATTCAAAGAAAAAAAAAAGACATTTCTAAAATAATTAATTTTTTTATTCAGTAAAAAGGTGGGATCCTAGTTAAAAACAGTAAAGAAAAAACGGAACAAACAGTATGAGGAGCCCAGGACTTGAATCTTCTTGACTACACGGCCGAACCGCGCTGTTGCCAGCTTACGAAATAATCCTAACATTAAAGAAAAAAAAGTACCCACCGTTAAGATTAATAGCGAGGTGATCGCCGGCTGCCAGAGACTCTTTCAAGTAATCTTTGACCGATCCCGATCGATTCTTGGGCAATATGAACATCCCCGCGGGATTCGACTCGGCTTTCGTCTCGCCCGAGTACAAGGCGCCCTCGCAAATTTGCCGGCAAATATCCAATAGGTAAACGTCACCACCGAGCGTCCCGACGACCGCGATACCGTCGAAATACCGCAGGGGGCTCGAGGTCGGCAGAAGCGTATTCTCCCGGCCCGCGTCGATTACGTACGCGCTAGTTATCTGCGAGAAAAGGAGAGCTGGGACTCGATCAGCGATTACCATCGTTTCTAAATGCGAAAGGGTAATAAATACATTTTAAATTTGTAATGACGGAGCTCATTAAACAGGGTAGACAACTTAAAGGTTATACCGTAAAGTTTAGATGAATTGCAATAACAGCTTCAAGCGGCAAATTCCGTATTTCGGTTTTTAAGACCAACACATCTTGAATCGTTCTAATTTGCATCAAATAGAAAGAACACGGTCTATTTTATTCAGCTTCATTTGCAGATCTTGGCTGTTATCAGCAATTATGACAGTGTCATCGGCATAGAGCAGGAATTTTAATGTCATCTGGACTCGGCGCTTTATGCATTTTTGTGCATAGACGACCTCATCTTTCAATATAGGTGGGCCAGATAGGCTATCGGTTCGGAGCTTACAAGTCTACAAAAATTTACGTTTATCCACTGACTCAAATATGTAAGGAGCATAGAAAAGACTTTGGTATGAGGAAATTAGATGTCCCTACATTAGATGTTTTTTACAATAAACAATAAAAAAACTAGTCAGACAAAAACATATAGCTATTAGAAACATTTGTGCTATTTTCTTTCACACATTTAACTTTTTTTGACTAAAGATTGAATCTGAGAAAATACTGCAGTAAAAATGCCACATCCAAACTTATTTACCATCCGTTGTTTCTGATTCATAGTTGCTTCATGATCACCATAGGCAGGGTCTCCATATTTCTAACTATACGGATAAAAACATTTATTTAAAAATGACCGCTGTTGAAGTAGAAGGAAACAAAAGTTAATATTATTTTTTTAATTCATAACTCACTGTTACTTTTGAAACTTATATTATTACTCGCACTGCTTACGTGGTAAACTTATTAACAAGGACCTTATTCAGCAATAGATACCAGTTAACAAGGTAAACTGTTATTTCTCATATAAGTGATAAAGTAAACCAACTTTAAAAAATGAGGTGCACAATAAATTATATCTCTCTGGCATTAAGAAACAGAACATAACCCCAAAATACCTGTTGTCCAATGGTGATGGCGCGAACAACTTTCGAACCGAACGCGTGAAATACGCATAGGATCCCCCCATTCTCGGGACAATGGAGAGCCACCAGGAGAAACGGTAACTTGCCGTTGTACCGCTTGATTTCGTCGACAGCGACGATTCTGAGGGCCGGATCTCTCGCTGGGCCGCCGAAAGTCCAGGCAGCGACTTTCTTGCCAAGCGATGCGTTTCGGATCTCTAAACGTGCCCCGTTTGCGTGCCATACATGTTTCAAATCCGTTAGTATGCCACCGAACGTGTGAAGGTCTAAAAAAACGCAGGGTTAGAACAGACACGCCAATCCGTTCGAAGTAACGCGGAACCTTCGTCGGTGCCGTTGCGCGGCACGGGCTGCGGGAACTCGACGTTTTCAACCACCTCGAACGACATTATCGTACCGCGTGCATTTATTCTAAACGACGAGAATATACAATGTAGAACCCAATATTAAACACCATTCACAAAAAACAACGGATTTCAGGACATCACAGTATCCAAACTGTTGAAGGCCCAGATGGGCCCTGACAAGGTATCTCTTCCTCTTTTAGCAACCTGAGAACAATTGTTGGTTATACAATCATCCCCTCGCAACGAGGGACCGACCATTGAACCACGGTTTTGCCTGATTAATCTTTCCAGATCTGAAGTAACAATCTAGATTAAGCAACTGCCATTGTTCCTATGCAATTTATGGAACGATGGATTAGAACAAGGATACTCGCTCAATGCCAACTTCTATCGACGTTTAATATCAATTAAATTAAATCAATAAAAATTATCTGCAATTAATAGTGCCAAATTATTCCAAATAATAACTATTATCTACCAAACTAGGTACTACAGAAAATGGGTTAATTAAAAAAAAAGCGGGGAAAAAACGTTTTAATGATGTTATACGTAGGTTAGGTTAAAAATTATACAAATTTCGATTCGGTTGCAGAACAAAAAGTGCAGGTTTGTTTACAAATAATCACGAATTATGAGACAAAATTGTCAGTGGATTTGAAATTACCGTCTAAAAGCATACTCTCTCTGTAGCTTTTTCCAATGACATTATTCATCACTGTTCTCATTGTTGATATATTTCTTGTTTACATGTTGGACTGTGATCAAAAGGATAAACTTTTCGACGGTTGTCGGTAATGTACGAATGACCATAGAACTTATGCCCGAAAAAGGGTGTCCGTTTCTCTCTTTCAGTTCTCTGCCGATAACCTTAAAATGGCGTCGGTCCGTTGCCTATTGGGGTATTACTTGAAAGCCGGATCGCGCGAAACGCTTTTCACAAAACACAGGTGCCACCGTCTGCTGAATTACACCGCGATACCCTACGACCATGACAAGGACCCGGCCCCCTTGTTTTTCAGTCCCGACGTGCAGCAACTGCTTTCGGAACTGACTCGGGCAGATTTCGCTAAAGTGTTCCGCAAACGAAAACTGGGGAGGCATAAACTGGCGCAACCCGAGTACAAATTTATGACGGACAAAGAGCTGAACGAAGCGATGGAAAAAGCGAAACGAAAAGCGGCCAAACTGTTACAAATACCGCCAGTTGTGAGCGTGAGAAAACCCGTTGACAGGGTGTTGTCGCGCGATCCCGCGTTGCTCGGTTTGGACGAATCGAGATTCGTTTTCACGGATATAACGTACGGTATTAAAGATCGGGATAGATTAGTCGTGGTTAGAGAACCAGATGGTACTTTACGAGAAGCAGAATGGGAACTCAGAAAAAGAGTAAACCAGATTTATTTTCCGATGCGCGGACGCGCACTCAAGACACCGAAAATGTTCGACGGCGAATATTTGGCTGACGTATTGTCCCGAAAAGAATACGAATTTATTCTGGAAGCCGCTTGCGTCCAGTTTGAACCTGACGATCCGGAATATCAACGTGTGGTGTCCATCACCTACCAACACATCAACGACAATCACGCGTTTGATTTGTTACGATCGACGAGGCATTTTGGGGCCCTGACATTCTTCCTTGTTTGGAACAAATGTATCGACAACCTTCTGCAAGAACTTATCGGCTCGTTACACTTGGACGAGGCCGTTAAATTGTTGCGGTTATATTCCAAGATCCACCACGTAGAATTCGAAGGCTCCGACCAACTTGAACTGTTGGAAGATTTCGCTAGAAAATATTCGGTCAGAAGGGGAGCATTAGAATTAGTTATACAGGCCTGCAGAGATACGGCGAAGGAGAAAGAAGAAGTGTAAATGCATCCCAAACGTTAAGTTAGGTAAATAAAATTTGTTAACGCCACAATTGTTTTCTTTTTCTATAATCTGTGGGACTGGCCCAACGTGCTGTAAAACGGAAGAAGAATAATCATTGAAAGTGTCAAAATTTTGAGGTTACCGTTATGTTGTTGCTAGTGAATTCTATCGTAGAGCTTACAAAATGTCCTTAACCGTCTCGCGCGATGAGATTATCAGAAAACACAACCTCGTCTGTGCCACCCGACGTGATAACAACGACAAAATCAAAAACCAGCAGCGATGACGCGAAATATGTCGTTGTGCCAATAATAGTGATTATCGTTATTATGCTGGCATCAGTTTTGGTTCGTTGCCGCAGTGCTTTGTTGATTCGTCTACATCAACGGATTTCAGGTGTATTACCTCCTCAAGCAACGAAAACTGATCAAATTGAGGCGTGAAATTCAAAGTTTTTACGAGTTTGACTCCGAGGAGCAAGAGTGGGAATCTTTAAACAGTTACAGGCATCCGAATTATAGCGATGACCTCACGGACAGTAGCCGTAGCAGATTATCCAAATCGAGTACCACAAATCTTTAGAGGAATGTCATTTTACCTCTACTCATACACACAATACACGAAAACAAATAATAAGCATATTTCAAGTAATACGAATGTCCGCTGTGATCTACAATAAATAGTTATTTAAAAAGTCACTTCCCCATTTTATTTTGATTTAATAAGGTATTAAGTTGGCCAGGTTTATTAGTCTCAGAGAACAAATCACGACGGCAGCAGTCACTAACCACAGAACAGCACCTTTTACGTTGAGGAACCATAGATTATAAAGCGTCCCGGTGTTTCTGGGGGAATTTCACGGCGCGCAGTTGAGAGCGCCGGCGGCCTCGCGCGCGGCGCCACCTGGCAGTCGCAATTTAAAGTGTCCCGTCTGTTTTTTTTGGGGTGGTGTCATATTTTCAGGCCAAACCCTAAGATTTTTTGGCGAAATTGGCTTCGCGCCGACCGAAACGGGAACGCCGGTCTCGCCGCCGCACCCGCCAACATCCGCGTAAATTACAAGCGCGCGCGCGACGTGTAAAAAAACGTCGCAATTCCGCAGTGCGTTTTATTTTATTCCTGTGCCCGAACCGAACGCAATGTAACGATTTTGCGACGACACGTTATGACCGATCGCTTCTTCGATTCCGAACGAGTGTCCGGCAACGATTTTGCAAACCTCTGCCGGCTCGGCCTGTCGAAATTCGGCAAATTTAACCCGACGGTTTGACACATCCGCTGTGAAGGGCCTGGGAGGGGGGGGTGGAGGAGGAGGAGGAGGATAGATTATCGCTCGCGATTGATAAGAGGCCCCAGATTTTTCCGTTTTAAAACGGGATGACATTCCGCATTCCGACAAAATTCTAATAAATTAGTAAGAGGTAGAGACTGAAGGTTAGGTTAGGGGTCGGGGTGCTATCGCGGTGGTGACAACTCGCCAAAGTGGAAATTGAGAATCCCAAGGGCGTCTTCGCCGGGTACAATGGCCGATCGTCGCCGAGACGTGTCAAGGGTTCGGTGAGGTTAGCGGCCCGTTGCCCTGCTTGTCACCTGGACAAACGCGCGAAAACGGGGCAAACCTGCCCTCGGCTCGATCAGGGACTGTAGGTAGCAGCGCGGGTCGCGAACAGTGCCCTCTCCCCCTCACCGGATCATTTTTTCCAGAGCAAAGGGTGCGACAATTCCGCGCACAAAGGCAAACTCCTCCTCGTCAATAGCTTCACCCCATACTACGTCGGCGGGCGGCGCGGGAGGCGGTCGCCGGGGCTTCCACAATACCTGGTCTCGTTTACAGACCGCGGGAGGAGGAGGAGGCGGGGGTTCACTTTCCGGTCGCCGAAGCAGTAGCGGTTCGGGCAGGCACCAACAGAGGACCGCCTCGGACGCGTCCCTCGAGTTGGGCGAGGAGGCGAAACCGTCGGCCTCGCCCCCGAGGGACGCGGCTTTAAAAAATGGCGATGATTTTGGCGTAACCCCATTAACCGAGGGCGCGCGATCGTTAAAAGACGTCCTCGACAATATTGAATTTATCGATCAATCCGGGTCGGATTTAGTGGAACCCAACAGGGGTTACCATACTGTCGACCCCGACGTCGTCACGCCCCGGGTCGCTTCTAAGGTGAAGGTGAAGGCGAAAACGACAAGTAACAAGAAAAGGAACAAAAAATGTCGGGGCGCCAGTTTCGAGGCGGAGAAAAAGTCGCCGCCAAAGGAGTCGATGATCTCCACAAAGACCGTCACGGCCAAGACGGAAACCCGGAAAATTATAACGACGACGACGAGTTTGAACCGGTACACGTTCATGAAAGTAATGGACGAGGACAAAGGCAAGCCGCTGGACAAGATCAGGACCCACAGCTGCAGCAGCATACCGTACGACAACATCATCGAGAACCTCGCGCCATTCAGGAAGCGGTTCTGCAACGTGCAGCTGTTCGACGGCGACAACGGCCCCCAGCAGAAAAACCTCAAGAAAGGTAGGGTTCAATTTTCTGCAAAAACAAAACGGAAGAAAACGCATTGTTGAAATAATATAAACCTAACTGGTACGGAATCTAATTAGAATCAACAATTAAAAACTTACCCGCGCATTACAAATCTCAGTTCTCTGTGTTCTTCGACGTCCGAGTTTAAATGTTGACGAGGGATCAACAAAAACGTCGACGGCGCATTATCAGATTGTTATTGCCGTTGCTATTTGCTCGATTCGTCATTATTCCATTTAAGTTGGCGGCTGATTTATAACGATACGACCGTCTGTCCTACACGGTCGCGTCGCGAGTTATCAAATTCCTCGCCGATTAATAACGCGCGTCTGCGCACAATCGGATCCGAACTTCACGCTAGACGGGGTTAAAACGAAAAACTCCGCGTGTGAACGATTCCGCGTCAGGAATTCTTTTTCATCCCCCCGGCAATGCTCGCGTCCGGAATAAACGTGGCAACGCGTGTTGAAACCTGCGACGCACCAGTTTAATAATGACCGCCGTTTTGGATAACGTAATAGAAAAAATAAATATTTGAGCGAGTCGTATCGGCGAACGTCACTATCGCGCAAAGTTCGATTCGCGATCCGCTTTGGTCGGTTCGTTCTTGATCTGTGGCAGATCGTGATAATTTTGTTGTGGCAAGGCCGATGCCAGGCAATCTCGATGTGGGGCGTATGACGGATGCGGATGCATATGTATTGGCGTTTGAATTATTTTGTTCACGCGATTTGTCGTTGACGTTCAACATAGACGGTTTGTCGTTTTCGAAAACGAAGAAACGAATACTGGACACTTTTTTGGCAATTTTTTTTTGGTTTGTCGCGATGCTGACGTGCTTTCGTTTTGTTTTTTACGCGCGTAGATCCGAATTGTAACGGTGACGTCAGAGCGGCGGTCGAGTCGGTCCTGGACGACATCCTGGAGATGGCGGTCGAGATCATCGTGAAGAACCAGCTGCTGCGCGGCTCGTCTGGGGACCGGGGCGACGTGGCGGCCCCGACCGCCACTTCTGCAGGCGGGGCCACCGCCGAGGATGATCGTTTCGAGTATAAGGTGGGGCGACCCTTAAAATAATTGATCTAGTATTGTTTTGATTAAATTTTTAAAATGAAACCAAAACAAGGCTGAAGATCGCTCAAAAAAATTATAAGGGTGGCGAAAGAATTTGTTTGTTTCAGTCGCGTATTCGTTGCAATACGGGCGACATCTTGCCGAATTTGTATCCGCCGAAAATCACCCACACCCCCTCGAGCGACACGCTTATAGACGCGAAAAATTTCGTGGAGGAGTACGAGGAGTATCACGACTCGTGCAGCGAAATGGCCGACGCGGAGAACGCCGTTAGCCAGGTTGGTGTCCCCCAAAAATTTGAACCGGAAACCTCTTTTGGGTTAGAGAACTGAAAAAAAAAAAAAACAGAAATTGTTTGGGTTAGTTTTAGGTTAGTGTTTTATTTTTCGTAGTTTTTCTGCGATGGACCCGCGGGTTCGTACCGCGGGACCCACCCGGGGCCCTGCGACGGGCTTTGCCGCACCTCCGAAAAGGTTGGGATACATAACCAAAAACAAGCGAAACCCTATAGCGCCGCTTTGTCGTATAGCGGGGATTTTTGTGTGTACGCCGCGCCGTTCGCGCACCGGTTTTCTATTCGAAAAAAAACAAACTAAGCCGTGACGTCACGCGCCCCTAAACAAAAACTCGCCGGGACTTCACGGAAATAACCTTAAGCGCATACGCCAGTTATGTCGTTCGTAATCAAAGTATCAACAATCGGTAACAATGAAATAGAAGCGAAACAAATCTCCTTTACGTTTAACTTCCCGTGTTTATTTACTGTGACGTCACCGCGTCCGCGTTGCTAATAAAACGGGCGTAGTTGTCGTCGCAGCCGCAACGTTTCGTCGCTTTTCGTCCTACAGTTTTGAGAATCGGGGTGTGGCGGAATGTGGCATTTAGGCACCCATTTTAAACCTCATTAACCTCACACATTCAAGGTGTTATCGAAACGACGTTGTATAAGCGAATATTAATTTTAACCTCAGCGGAAATTATTTCTGGTGAACACAGATCATAGCGTATATAAAACAATAAATAACACGGAGAGAATAATAAAATCCATTTCACGGGGGTCGGGTTCTGGCATACAGTGGACCCGTTGTGTAAGGCACTTCTCGGTTATAAATGAAATTTTATTCCATGTTTAAAATGCATAGTTAAACGTTTGGTCAAAAACCAACCATTAGGGAGATATCGCGAAACAAATACGGCGGAGAAATAACGTTTTTATTTTTTATCATAAAAACGAAAATAAGGCGAACGTATACGAGATACGCCTGGTTAAACTTCTACACGTTCTAAAAGTTTCTTCAGAACGTCATGGAAATCATCTTCTTTTTTAAATCTCGTTAATAAAATGTTTGCTCGTCAATACGACGTTGTTTCAGTAATACTGTATATAGCTTACTTATCGATCAACCTCTACGGAACTATTGTGAGATATCTTACCGTACGTATTTTTCGTCTCTCCCTGTCGCCCACCCTCGTCAAGATCATCGACGAACTGAGCGCCAGCGTCGACAAGACGATCATGGAAAAGCAGCGTCCGACGCGGCGCAAAGACAAATCGGTGAAGCACAGGGGCGTGACCAGCCTCATACCGATTGAGACCGATTCGAACGCCGAAGACGACGGCGACACCGCGCAGATGAGCGACATGAACGAGGCGCGGCTCCTCGAAGTCGGCGCGATGTACAACATCCCGAAGAACTTCTTCCAGAGCGCGGAGATGACGGAAATTACCGAACAAACGATCGATCGGCACGACGAGAACGCGGAGAATAATCCGGACCTTGCCGAACAGCCGGTCGTCCTTAGCCTCACCACCGAGGCGAAGGTCGAGGACGACGACGACGTCTACAGGCCGATCGCGGTCAGCCCCGACGGAAGGTAACGCGGCAAACGGATAAGTCGTTCGTAAAATTGCTGTTGTTGCGGTTGTAGTAACCGCGTTAAGTTAGACAAAATAATTCCAGAGAGGGGCGAGATTATTAGATAATTAGCGCTAAATGATGTTGATACAGCGGTTTCAGCGTGCTAGACGACGAAATATGGACGCTGTTGGGGAACGATTTAAAATATTCTTGAAGATTGGTACTTTTTATTTAAATTAAAAATAGTGACGTCATATTTTTTAAAATTTGGTGGGTGTAAGACGATTTAGAACTAAAAAAAATATATATTCCGGAAACACACTATGACGGTATGTCAAAATATAAAATTAATTTAAAAGACGGATGACTTGTTTCGCCCAATGCCATCATCAGACTAATGGCAATATCAATTTTTCATTTCAACAAAAATCTTAGCTAAGTGATATGATTTCGTTCTACGATCTTTATGTGCGCTTTATATATACTTGATTAAAAAAAGATATATTTTTGTCAAAGCAAAATCAATATTTTGTGTTGTGTTTAATCAAATTTCATCAAATAAAAATATAAAAAATAATATTATAACGCATATTGACAAAATTACTATACGTATGTCCGACCTCTAAGAGTTCCACTGTGGGCCACATACGCGGTGCTGCGTTTCGGAATTGCGCTGCGGAATTTGCGGTGGTTGTTCTTTGTTCTGTGATTTCTAGGCGTAAAGTATGTAAACTTTCGTCCAGAGAATCTAAAAATGTCACTCAAATAATCTCCACCGGAAGTTTAGCCGCGAATTCGCGAAACGTTACGTCGTATTCGTGACCAGGTTCTTCAAGTACGAGGAGGAGATCGGTCGGGGTTCTTTCAAGACCGTGTACCGTGGCCTCGACACGCAGACCGGCGTGGCCGTCGCGTGGTGCGAACTCCAGGAAAAGAAACTGAACAAGACGGAGCGGCAGAGGTTCCGCGAGGAGGCCGAGATGCTGAAGAAGCTCCAGCATCCGAATATCGTGCGCTTCTACAACTATTGGGAGTTCCCCGGGACGAAGAAGAAGAATATCGTTCTCGTCACCGAGCTAATGCTCAGCGGCACGCTGAAAACGTAATGCCCGAAGGGTAGCGGAGCAAAATGCGTTCAAACCGCTCGTGTCCGTTACAGGTACCTGCGCCGCTTCAAAAAGATCAACCCAAAAGTACTGAAGTCGTGGTGTCGCCAGATACTCAAGGGGCTCGCGTTCCTACACTCGCGCGCCCCGCCCATCATCCACCGCGACCTCAAGTGCGACAACATCTTCATCACGGGTACTACGGGTTCGGTGAAAATTGGAGACCTGGGGCTTGCCACGCTGAAGAACAGGAGCTTTGCCAAGTCGGTAAGTATGCGCCCCGAATCTACGTGTGCCCGGCATGAATCAAGCGTTTATATAGGTGATTGGTACCCCGGAGTTCATGGCGCCCGAAATGTACGAGGAACACTACGACGAAGGGGTCGATGTGTACGCGTTCGGTATGTGCATGCTGGAGATGGCAACCAGCGAGTATCCATATTCGGAGTGCACAGGTCCCGCTCAGATCTACAAAAAAGTCATATCGGTAAGAGACAGGGCTCTGCCTTTCCGAGCTAAGAAATCGTCATCGCCGACTGCTTTACCTGCAGGGAGTCAAACCGGCCAGTTTCGACAAGGTTCAGAATCTCGAAATCAAGGACGTGATCGAGAGCTGCATCAGACCGCGTAAAGAAGACCGCCCGAAGGTGAAGGACCTTCTGCAGCACGCGTTTTTCGAGGAAGACGTCGGCCTTAAGGTCGAGGTCGTTTCGCAGGTGAGCAAGAAGATCGTGTTTAGGCTGAGAGTGCTCGATCCAAAGAAGAGGACCCACAAGCACAAGGAGAACGAAGCGATCCAGTTCGAATTCGACATGGAGACGGACAAGTACGACGCGATCGCCGAGGAAATGGTGAGACATCCACCACCACGTCGGCTGGTGACGTGACGCACGTCACTATACGTCAGGTTTGTCGTTTTGCAGGCGAAGTCGGGCATCATATTCGAGGAGGACGCGAAAACGGTCGCGCAATTGCTGAAGGCGCAGATCATGCTAATAAACAAGGAGCGCGAGAGGCAAAACAAGGAGCAGGAGGCACGCGCGCAGCAGTACCAGCAGTATATCAATCTGCAGGTGGAACAACAGCAGCAACAGATGAACCAACAGCAGCAGCAGCCGCATATGGCGCCGCCGTCTCAAACGCAACAGCAACAGTATCCTCAACCTGGACAGTACCAGCAACAGCAGAGCATCATCCAGGAGCAGCAGCAGCAGCAGCCCGGTCCGTACCAGCAGCAGCAACCGGGAATCATCCAATCCGACGTGCAGCACTACTCGCAGCAACAGCAGATGGTGCCGCAGGATAACCAGCAGCAACAGACGCAGGCGAACATGGTGTACCAGCAACACCAGTCGGCCAATCCGCAACAGCAGCAAGAGCAGCACCAGCCAACCCAATTGCAGAGGCAGACGTCAGTGGAGCCGGCGCAGTCACAGCCGATTATACACAAGCAGCCCGCCCCCACACAATTTGCACAGCCAAATTATATACCAGAGGGCGGGGGCATACCACAGCAAGCGGAGTTTATACAGCAAGATGCCAAACTGCCGCCGGAGCTAATGCAGCAACAATCCATGACTAACTATCAACCGCAGCAGCAACAGGGTCAGACGTATCACGCGCAACCGGGTTATCAGGAGCAATACCAGCAGTATCCCCAGCCGGATCTCGCGCAGCAGCAGCAACAGCAGTTTGTACAGCAGGGGTACCCGCCGCAGCAGCAAGGTCAGCACTACCCTCAAGCCGGTTATCCTCAGCAACAGCAGCAGCAAGCACCGCCTGGGTATATCGGTTTCTTGCTTTCCGAGATTGGATTTGATAGTTTTTTTTTTCCAGCTATCAGCAGCAGCAGCAAAATTATCAGCCGTCCGGTTACCAGCAGCAACCGGTCCAGCAGCAGCAGCAGCAGCAGCAACCTCCGCAATCGCAACACTACGTGTCGAGCCAGCAGCAGGCCTATTCCCAGCAACCGCAGTACATGACTCCCCCTATAGAGCAGCAGCAGCAGCAGCACCCTCCGCAGTTTGTCCAGCCGCAGCAGAGCGTTGATCAGACCGTCTATCAGCACCAGTATATCGCTCAGCAGGCCGGCGGGGGTCCTTACATCGATCACCAGCCACAGCAGATGGTACAGCAGCAGCAGGCCTCCAATCAGCAGCAGCAGCAGATTCCGATTCAGCAACCTCAACCAGTTCAGCAGATTTCAATTCAGCAACAACCACAGCCAATTCAGCAATCTCAGGCGGTTCAGCAACAGCAAATGTCAATTCAGCAACAGCAAATTCCGGTTCAACAGCAGCAGTCGGTTCAGCAACCACAGCCTACTGCAGTTCAGCAACAACAGATTCCAATTCAGAAGCAACCACAGCCTATCCAGCAGCAACAAACTCAGCCTGTGCAGCACCAGCAGATTCCGAACCATCAGCAGCAACAACAGCCCCAGACGGTGCAGCAACCATCCCCTGCCGATAACCAAGACGTCGCCGGTGGCGGCACCGTGCACCGCCTGTCGAACTCGGACATCCCGCCCATGAACCTTGAACAGCTGCAACAGAAGCTGGCGGCACAGAACGCGAAAGAGCAGCACCGGGTGTCGACGGCGTCACTGCCGCCGCTGCCGTTTGAAAGCGGCGCCACGACGCAGCAGGACCAGCGTCGCGCGTCGACAGTCTCGCAGCCGGCGGGCGGCGTGGCGGAGTACGCGCAGTTGCAGCACCAGGTCATCCGGGAGGGTAGACCTGTCGATGAAGACGTCCAAACGGAGGACCCCGACCTGTCGGTTTCCGAGCAGGTAACACGTCCGCCTCCGAGTGTACCGTCGTCGTTGCCAATCGCCGTGTATTTTGAAAGGACGCGTCTTCGTCGACGGGCGCGGACCCGGAACCCGCGAAACCACGACGCTCGTCGTCGAAACGTTCTTCGCTACGGCACCGGCTCGTCGTCGACGCCGTCCACGGCGACGGTACCGTCGAATGCCGCCTCATAAGCAAGCAGCGCACAGTCAGTTTCAAATTTAACCGCCTGGACACGACACCGACGGACATCATCGACGGCATGGCGCGCCAGGATCTCCTCGAGGCGGGGCCGCACGAGAAACTGCGCGCGCACTTGGAGCGCGTCATCGAGGAGCTCAGGTTACGACCCGACCGCATACCGGACGGCGCGGCCACGGCGACGGCGTCGAAGGACAGTCAAAAGGTACGTGTTTATTTAAACTACTCGTCAAAAGCGTTTTATTGCTCCTTCGCCGCACCCGTTGACGACGCAAACTAAAACCCACGGGCGTTTTCACATGCTCACTAAACCGTAAAAGGTCAGGCATGCCTCGCTGACCAGGCACCCCCACAAAAAGACACATAGAAGGCACCGATCGGTGAGTACCTGGTATATATATGTACGTGCCCCCATCCATCCATCCATCCCCCCAACATTTCTCTCATCCACCGTATCGCCTCTCTCGACATTCGTGACGGTACTTTTCCGGCGCAGCGCGACGAGTCGAGCACGACCGTGCCCAAGGTGAAGTCCCCGGACCGCGACGAACTGCGCGCCATGATCAAAACCACCCTCGCCGAGAACGTCTACCAAAACTTGACTTGTCGCGAGAGTTTGAACTCGAGCGGAACCGTGTCTCGCAAAACCAGCACCGCCTCCGAGTATACCCCCGAACACACTTGTTACGTGCGGCCGTCACCGCAGTTGGATCAGACGAGCGTCATCTACGTGAACGACAGCTGCACTATGGCCCCGTCGGAGACGCCCACGTCCGCACCGACGCACCCCAAGCCCGACGGTGACGGCCTCGACGGCGGCGCTTCTGACGCGCTCAAAACCGAACTGGAAAACAGTCTGCGACAGAAGGAGGTCGCGAAACTGGTGCCCGGCCAGAAGGTCAATCTCAAAGTGTTCGTCATGGCGGTCGACCGCGACGCCGAGGGGCCGTCGGCGACCGACACGAAACCGCCTCTACCCGGAACGGCGGACGCGGCGGAAACCGACAAGGCCGGCAAAACGGAAGGGGGCGCCGCCGCCCGATCTCCCCAAAGAAAGATCTCCAGGTTCCTCGTCAGTCCCGTGCTGTCGGGTCAGCTCGACTTGCCCAAGGATAAGGATTTCGGTGACGGCGAGGTGCCCGAGGCGGCGGTCTCGGCGGTGACGAGGAAGACGTCCGCGCCGCTCGAGCGTACCGGTTTGGAGGCGGAGAAGCCGGCCGAGCAGAAACTGAGCGTCAGCTCGATGAAGGAGGAGTCTACGATCAACCGCGAGGAGGTGGGGCAGGTGTGCGGTCCCGAGCTGATCAACACTCTGGAACAGCTAAAGATCAGTCTGGACAATTTGAAGCATAGCAGCCACCCGAAAAAGGAGGGCGAGGGAGGAGGCGAGGTCAAAAAGACCGAAACCGGTACCAAGCCCGCCGCTCCCGTGCCGTTCGTGGCCGCTCCCCAACAGCAGCAGCCGGCCGCCCCCGCGTTCGTCCAACCGCCGACGGCGTACGCGGCGCCGCCGCCGGTGCCCTACGTGGGCGTCGTGCAGCAGCCGCCCATAGTCGCGCCCCAGCCGGTACAATTTGCGCAGCCCCCGCCCGCTCGGCAACAGACTTTCGTGCCCGTGGGCGGGACGCAGTACCCGAGCCAGCCCGCAATAGTAGCCGCACAAAACGTCACGTACCCGCCCCCGAGCGCCGCCCCTTACCAGCAGCAGCAAGTCGCCGCGCAGATACCTGCGCAACCGCAGCTTATCGCGCAGCAGGGCACCGCGCAGATATTCCCTCAATCCCAAGCGATGACCGGTTCGGTATCGGTTCAGAATTTGAACAATGGTCAGCAACAGCCGGCTCAGCCGCCACTCCAAAACGGTCCCGGCTTCCAGCAGTCCGCGTCGGTCGAGGAAAACCTGCAGGGGTACGCGAACGCGGCGAAGAAAATGCTGCCGGAGGGCGTAAAGCTCGCGATGGAGGGGACCGGGTCGTCGAGCAGGGGCAGTCAGGTGTCGACTCCGCAGGCCGAGGTCTACGATATCCAAAGTCTGCAACAGAAGTTGTCGAGTATCGCTGCGGTGAGTCGGACGCGCGCTTGCTGGTAGCGTGGACGTCTTAAGTTTGCGTTCCCAGGCGCCGCAGAGTCCGCACGCCGGACTCGTCGTCGCCCCCCTCGAGTTTCCCCAGGAGGCGGCGGCGGTGTCCAACAAGCAGCCCTCTGCCGAAGCGCTCTCGCCCGAGCCCGAGAAATCGGCCGACGCGTCGAAGCTCAGACAGTTCGAGGACTTGAACGATCAACTGCGCAAGATTAACAACGCGCAGCAGCAGCAGCAGACGATCAAGGACGAACCGCCGCCAGCCGAGATCAAGATGGCGGAGGCAGCGCTCGACGAGGCCAAGCGCGACCTCAAGCTCGAGCTGGAACGGCTTAACGAGACGGGCGCGACCGGTGCCCAGGTGAGTCATTCGAACTACCGCGAACGGAGGTGCGAACTGAAATCGTTAAAATTTGAGGTTTAAATTAACGGAATTGTAAGAAAAAAAAGCTTGGTGATCATTTGATCGAGGGGGCCGTTATAATTTATTTATTATTATTTATTTAATAATATATTGTATGTTGTATGATCGCTTTAGAGAAGCGAAATCGCTTTTTGATTTAGATTTTCCATGTCTCTAATATAACTAAAAATATCAATTCCTTCATACTACCTACTAACACAAGACTTTTGAAAATTTTGTATTACATACCGATGTGGTACGTTTATTATTAATTCCAATTCCAAAATGTCTCCATTAGCATTATAAATAAAATCTATATCGCGATCCGTACCGGCGCGGCGTAAGTCGCCTGACGCGTGTTTTGTTTTTATGTTTTCGCGTCCCGTAGTTCAAACGTCGCGTGAGCGCCTTTATCGGTCGACAAAGGCTGAAACTGTTGCGCGTAAGTAGGAAACCGTAGGCGAGGTAGCGAGCGCGTTTTTTTGGTTATTGCCGTTTTATGCACCCCGCCAGGTTAGCGTAGGTTTCGCTTTAAGCTTTGCGACTGTCGCGCCCGAGACGATAGTTCAAACGAACGACAGCCATATTTGATCGATTCTAAATCCCCGCTTCTAGTGAACATCTATGACTCGCTTTGTTTCGCCACTACCGCGCTCCCCTCCCTCCTATTTAAACGTTTTTAGGCGCTATGCGAAGCCGCGCCCGACGTCACCGGCGTTGCCGCGTCCGCCCCCACCAAGGAGCGTCGCGTGTCCCGCTTCAAGGTCAGCGTCGTCACCGAGCCGGACCGCAGCCAGCTGCAGCAGAACAAAACGGACGCCCCCAAAGTCGAAAGGGATAACGGTATTAACGGCGCCGACGCGTCGAAGGGCGTGGCACGACAAGGTAGGAGGGACACGCAGGCCGATTTTACCACCGTCATCAATACGACGTTCGATTCGTTGAAGACGACGCTGGTGCGGTCTCTACCGGATACAGGAGGTGAGTGGTGAACACGCGAGTTTGAAAAATGAATGGAACTTTCGGCGTACCTACATTTGAAAATATTGTACTTCTTATTGCAGCGGAGGCGTTGCCGGTCGAAGAAGTCTCCCAAGTCAGGGTAAGTGACACGTAGGATCGAGAATATAGGACTGACGTGCGTGTCTTTGGGTTTACATGTTCGTTTTGTTTTTGATCTCGCGACTTTGTCATACGCTTGTTGTCTGCGTTTGTTTTGCACGCCATACTAGTTTTTTTTACATGCGGGAGACGTACCGTCGGACAAGTGCGAACGCGGAAAATACCTTTAAGTAATTTATGCCCTTCCAAGCCGCGATGTTTTTGAAAAAGCGTGTGCAAGTGCAAAAATCAGGAAAAGAAGACTAAATTAGGGGAGTGCTTATGAACTAATGCGAACAGAAAAAAAAGATGCTTGAGAGAGGGCGAAAAAAAGGTACGTTTGAGGCAACAGGTTTCTTGTTAAGTCGAAAATATCAGCGTTTTTTTGGGCGTCCGCGAATTAAACCGAAAGGATACATTTGGACTAAAATTTAAAAAAAAATCATTTTTCTCGAGCTTGACTAAAAAAGAGTCGAATGGAAAGAAGGAGGCGTGGTTGAAACGGAAGGGGAGGGACCGGTCGAAATTGCTTTGGTAAGAGAAAAAGAAAACTAAGCCTCTCGTATGGGGTGGGGGCGGAGGCACGGGACGCATATTTGCACGGGTCCTTGCCGTTTTGTGTCGCTGCAGGGTACTCACCTTCCTAACGCCCTTTTTTTATTTTTTTTTTTTTTACAATTCTTGTAGCGGCCCGAACAGAGCTCGCAGGCGTCGGCGCCGACGCCGGTCGACGCCGGCGCGCGTCCTCTCCGCAAATCCCTCTCGTACGTCGACCTGAAACGCGAGATCGAAACGATAATGCCGATACGTAAGGGGGCGGAGCTATCGCCGCCGCCGCCGCCGCCGCCGGGTCATAACCCTAGGCGGCGCGCGCCGCCCGCCGGCCGGCGTCAATCCAAAACGTTTAGGCAGTTCCCACAGATCGTAGTACATCCGCCACCGGACGGGGGCGAAGCCCTGACGGCTAGCATGCCCGACGTGAGGGTGATCGACGCCGCCAAGCCCCGTCCCGTGCTAAACAACGTGTCGGTGATGAACGCGTCGTGTCCTGATCTGACGACGGCCCTCGGTTTGTCCGAAACGTCACGTAAATTGGTTGTCCAGACGTCGACGCCGTCGCGACGTCGCACTCGGCTGCGTAAGCGCGACGAGACGCCAGGCGCTGTTCTCCGGCGCCACCTCAAAATGAAACACTCGCGCTCGATGCAAAATCTCATGACGACCAAAGGAGGCGGGGCGTCGTCTTCCGACGGTGACCATACCTACTTCACGGTACACGCGGGCACCGAAATCGGGGGGTCACGCGGTCGCGAGTGGGGGTGGGAGTGGGGCAACGGGGCGCGGCGGCGGGCGGTCACGATTGAGGAATACCTGGAGACGTATTACGCGCCCGAAACGGTAAGAGGGATGCGGAGGTGGCGGTGAAGACGCACGGCCGGATAGAAAACGCTTTTTTTTTTTAATTTAGAGAACTACATTTTTGGCGTATTTCGTTCGTTGGTTTTACGCTCAGTAAAAAAGAAACTCCCATGTCGCCTGCATAACGACCCTGTGTACAAAACTCTCCCTTTCTTTGTGCGCATCTTTTTAACGGGGCGGTTCATGGGAGGAGGTGCGTGGTACGCCACGCCCCTTATTCATATATATATATATATATATATATATATATATATATATATATATATATATATATATATATATATATATATATCATTGAATAATTAGCACGCTTATAACTTTCGTGCATGATCTGTTACTTACTGTTGCCGCTGACTTTGCGTCTGCTAACCTGCTAACTGACGCATCTCGGAAGTAAACATCATACAGAAGCAACCATCAACCATACTTTTATTCATTGCTACACAGATAGTGGACGAAATATCTGCAAAAAATCCAAAACACTTCAAATAAAAAATGGGTAAAATATGGAAAAAAGTAACGAGAATTTAAAAAAATATATTTTCTTTTTCACTCTTATTTCACCCGATAGTGTAATTCGTAGTGGACCGTGTCTACAAATAGGACACAAACCTCCTCGACGCAGTCGCTTTTTTTTCTTCGAAGAAAGCTAAAACTTCTGTTGACTACTGTCAGAATTTTTTAGCAGAATTTAACAGTTCGTATGACACAATTACGTTATTAGACACGTTTTATAGAAAATTTTCTAGCATTGAATTCCATGTACCGTTTAACATCTTCATTTTTCGATTCCCGGTCTTCAGTCAGCTGCCCAATTGGAGAAGAATTTTGTGAACAGAAGTTGGGTTGTTGTACCACACATATACCTCGAAATCAATAGATATGGTTTGCAAAATTGTTTGGAATGTAACTATCAGGTCTTCATCGATTCCCACAGAAAAATCTGGAAAATACACAATAAAAAAAGTTTTTTTTTTGGTTATCCGAAATTTCTGAAGTTATGTTTTTGCAAATATTAATTATTGTTGAAAGGGATAAAAAATAAGGACAGCAATATTGCCGAAGAGAAAATGCGGATTTTGTCTATCAGAACTTGATTTTTTTCGAAAATATTTCAAGCTAGACCGCAGAGTTTGTAATTCAACCTTTTAGGGGATTTGTCAAATAACAATATTAATATTCTATATAGTCTGTAAATATATTAAAATAAAATTGCCTATTTCGACACTGCTATATGTATTTATAGTTTATTCTATATAGATTTTTAGAATTTTCTTACCACTAGGGACAGGGCCCCATTGCAGCTGTTAAGATTTTTATAAGAAACTAATTACAAAAAAGAGACGTAATATCACTTACAAGAAATGTCATATTTCTGAAAATATTCAGAACAAGGTTTTACCTGAAATTCTCAGGTTGGCATTTCTGATTTTTGACAAATTTCCCCGCAATTTGCTTCCTTGGAAGTGTCGGAAAGGCGTTCGCTTTGACAGTGTCTAATCCTTCCGTCGCTTCTGCATGACGTTTATTCTGTGATACGACGCGTCTTGTTTTTTTTTTTTTTTTTTAACGTGTTCGGTGCCCCTTTAGGAGGAGACGTTCGAGGAGATGCTAAACCGGCAAAAGGCGGAACTGAACGCGCTGATGGAAGCGCATCGTAAGCAGCAGCTCGAGTACATGGGTAAAAGTGAAGTAGTCATAGGCGGGCGGGCACTTAGTTTTATTTACTTTAATTACAGAACGACATCGTCGAAAAATCGAGGAGGGGTCGTGGGGCGGCGGGGCGGCCGGAGGTCGACACGCCGCCGACTAGGGCGCGGGCGCGCAGAAAAGAAATTCTTTCGCGGAAAGCGAAATAATTTTTTTTAGGAAGAAATCATTGTGAGAACGAAGGCTGTATACCGTATGTAATTGTTTTATAGTGTTTATCGATCCAAAACGAAGATAAGTCTAGTTATTATCATTAGTTTGCATTCGCCGATAATTTATTTTTAATAGTCTCCAATCCCCCCCGCCCCTCTTTCAGGGATTGTTGGTGGTGGGTGGGGATTGCGGACCGCGCGAGGCGGGCGGCCGTGTGAAATGTGTTCGGGAGGTGCGTCGCGCGGACATTTTGTTTAAAAATAAACCACTTGTTGCAACAAAATATGTTTTTTTTATTCGCTAAATTTAGCCTTTTACAAATTCCCCGACGTTTAAAACAAAATTGGAATTATTAAAATAATATTAAAATATATTCGTGATATTTTTTGAACGAAGCTAAAAACTCAAAGCTGACGTTTTATTCACGTAATCTGTGGCTAAGTATTCTTCCGATATTTATTTTTGACATTTCAAAGCAAATAATCCTTTATTTGTTGCCTTCGAAAAATCGATGGAATCGAACAGCGTCGCCATTGGTACAGATGAAATCAGCGTTTTAATTTTCTTGTCCGTTTTCCAAGGTATATGAAAAAATCCGAACGAAAATCGCCATTTCTCGGCCTCAGTCTATACGCGATGACGTCATTTGCTATTACGACGTACTGCATGGTTTCAGAAAACACATATTTTCTTGAAAACCATTTACTCTATTGGAAAAATTCATATACCAGGAAATGTGGAAGATCCAAAGCCATAACCTCTCTATTTTGAACATTGTTTGAATTATATACAGGGTGTGTCGTTTATGAGCAAAAAATCTAAAAGGTCCTGAAAATTTCAGATTTTGCGGGTAAATTATTGGCGACAAAAGAAAAACTGATAAAAATGGGATAATTTCATTTGAGCAGTATTGTAAATTGTGTCCAGAGAGATTTACAGGTTTCATCTATCTTATAGGGTACGTAAGATATTCGAAAAGATATCATTTTAAATCGCAATTACCAGTACAAATTTTAATATTTACCATAGAGAGTATGCACAAAGAAATTACATCGATTTTGCCAAAGTTCCATAGTGGTCTGCAGAAACATAATAGAAAAATAGGGCCCTCTAGGACAAAAAGCCTTTAAAATACAAAGTTGCCTAGTGACTTTATAGACTACGAGGCCCGTGGTACAGAGCTGATGACTGACACAGCCACAATTTTTCGAAATCAATTTTGTTGGTTGCGACAAATTTTCGGGCGAAAAGCGAATAAAGTGAGTGGAGATTCGAGTTTAAAAAAAACTGCAGAAAAGTACAAAAATCTCATGGACGAAATGTAACAATTATTTAGGGCCCTTGAATTCAATTCATCAGTGTAAAGAAAGTTATCAACCCTGATGTTTTTATAAATTATTGGAAATGACAAATAAGGCTGAACCAAAGATATTTATTCAAACAAAACACTTAGAGCATAGTATTGTTTTACACAAAACGGACTCAAATAAAAAATAAAAGCAATAAAAACAGGAACACTCAATAAATTGTAGTTTTTCTGAAAATTTAGGCCCCTGGGTGACTTTTTAGATGTTATTGGGAGAGCTTGGACAAACGGCTTAACCGCCGAAGATTTCCCCGAATGTCGTACCATTGTAACCCACATCGCTGGCCGCTGCATTCTGGAAATGGATGTACATCCTGCAAAACGCAATTACACACCCGAATTTTGCAAAGAGTTTCATTTCACCTGTCGCTCGGCACCCCGATCGACTGTTCCACAACCTCAGCCAAGGCCTTGGATATTTTGACGTTTTCCTTTGGTCCGAGCGCTCCGATGCTCATGAGTGTAGCTTGAGCAGCGGGCTTAGTTGCGTCGCCCCCAAACGAGGTGTTTACGTCGCCGACTACCGTCACTGCGCAATACTGAAATTATCGCTTTAAAATGGTGATTATAATGTTGAATTTAAACTTACGTTGAGTGGTTTACCCGCCAGAACTTTGGAAAGGGTTTGCGCAATTTTAGCCGGTAGGTCAGCGGGTATTTTACCTTTGGGCACGTTAGTTTCAATGCGAAAATGCGGCATCTTCGTGTATAATTATTTTTATTGCGAATCAGCTCAACGCCCGTTAAGACCGTCGAGAGGTTACCAGCACGGAATGCAAATAGGTCTTTTCTATAATGCCACTTCTCTCCTGTTATAACCGTATGCAATAACGGTGCAAAGCTATTTAACGCAACTGTATAGTTCTTTGAAAAATTCAATATACTCGAAAAATAAATGATAGAAATTAGAAAATTATCTAATTAGATTATTTCAAGGGAATTGAGAACATTCGCAAAAGCATAGTTACCATAGAATACGAAGCCGCAAGTTTACGTTATATCAGTAATGCCGATTTGGTATTGGGTCACAAAGTTGTTTTTCAAAAATATTAAGAATCTTTGTTTTAATCATAAATAAAATAAATTTCATGAGTATAATAGCAGAAAATCAATTTTTTAAATTATTTGTAAGTTTATTTATTGATGTCATTTTAAGTGCCTCCGTAATGTACCGAGTTATATATTTTATTAATGCGTATATTAATTTTTTTTTCCTGAACACTCAGATTCCAAAAATTTTAATTTTTTAATATAACTAAAAAAAAACTATCAACCTATCTTAATTGTCTTTGAAATTTCAGTAGATAGATTCAGGAGTTACCAAAAGTTAAAAAAAAACAGAATAGAAAGCTTTAAAACTAGAAAAAAGTCTATAAAAATATAAATTTTTAAATGTACGTTAAAAACTGGACAAAATGCGAAAGTATTCGGAAGGATGCATCATACCAGTAGCGATTTAATTGTCTTATTGACGTAGAACAGACACACCACAAAAACAAATACCCAATCTTAAACTTTCGTGTTGTAACCTGAAATTTTATTTTAAAATTTCGTGCTTCATGGAAACATCCCATTACCTCATAGTATTGACCGGTAATTAGTACTTAATCGCCGCGTAATCTCTGTCAAAACCTAACCAACCAAATCTAACCTCTATTATCTGAGGTGTCAAACGATATCGCAAATATTCTGCGCAAAAAAAACAAACGATAAAAAAGAGGCGTGTGTCTATAAAAAAAGTGCAAACGCCAGGAATATTTGTAAACATATTTATTTTACGAGGATGATGTATCAAAATTCAATTGTGCGATTGACCCTACGGCGATGTCGCGGCCGATACTAAAAAAAAATAACTCGCAAGAAGTTTTCCAGAATGATCGGCATTTTTTCGAGGATCGATTTTTAAGCAGATTCGCGTTGCACTCCCAGAATGTTTTCGCCCGAACACAACCGTTACATTTTGCTTCAAAATCCGACGTGAGTAAGCGAATTATTTAAGGTCCACAAAAAGAAAAAAATCAAATAATTTTTAGGGATCACTGGACCCTCGATAAGAAAGCTCTGTTGGTAGTGGGATGTCTTATCCTCCCCATTACCATGTTCTGCGCGACATATATGATCCTGTTTGGTATTTACGAAAAGCTGCTATACCCAAAACAGAGCTTGAGCAGCTTCAGTTCTTCAAGTGGGTATTATCTATTAAAATGTTTGCATTTTTTTTTTCTAGTCGTTTTAGAGAAAGACCTCCATAGGGCGTCAGTTTATGGCGGCTATGAACGCAGAAATAATTACACCGAAATTCAAAGAACTCCCCACCAAGCTCTCGATGTGTCAATCTTTAGATTGGTATGCTACTACAACTTTCCAAGTAATGCGCAGTCCTTGCAAGTTAACGACATTGATCCCAATCTCTGCACCCATCTAAATCTCGCCTTTGGCAGTGTAATAAATAACAGTATTTACCTGTCTGATGCTGATTTACCTTATGTAAGACAGGCCGTGAAATTAAAGGCTGTCAATAAAAACTTGAAAGTGTTGATATCTATTGGCGGGGCCTATAACGACCGAGGTTTTCCCGAAATGGTACTAAATCATACGAACAGAAAAACGTAAGTTTATAACGGCGCCTCAGTTTAACACAGTTTCCATTAACCACAACGTAAATTTAACAGTGTTGACGTTTACCTATTGACACACAGAATAGAATAGAATTTGGTTAGTTTAATGCATACGTCGCCGCCAGGTGGCGGGTCGTAGTTCACTGCTACCCAACCTTTTAGGTTTATAAAGTCCGTGATCGGGTTTGCGAAAACATACGGTATCGATGGCGTGGATCTTGATTGGGAGTTTCCCGGAGAGGAGCCAGTCGCGGACAAACATCAGCGCCAACACTTTACTCAGCTACTACACGAGCTTCGCAGGGCGGTTGCGCGACACACGAACATGGCGCTGCTGATTACGCTGGCAGTTGCTGCTCCCGTGCAGATTGTGGACACCTCCTACGACGTTTCTTACGTCAACGAGTAAGTGAGGGGATTCAAAATAAAAGGGGTCTCTCTAACAAAATAAAGTTATGCTTTACCGGGTGTCAGAAATTAGCTTCTCACTGTTGGGATATGGGTAGCTGCAACAGATCAGAAGCCAGTTCAAAGTTGCCCATTTTGTCGTTGATTCTAAATGCATTTTCAACTCTAAAGATTCCAAAGATTTTCGAAAATATGAAAAAAAAAGAAATTTGGAATACCTAGTATACAGGATTACTCAGTTTTTTGTAGTCGGACGTCATCGGTTTAAAGAACACCAAAATGAGCTTGAAATTGTTATAGCGTCGCTGTAAGGAACTAACTCACTTTGGATTGAACATTGTTTACAGTTATGTGGACTACATCAACCTGATGTCTTACGACTACCACCACTACACCAGGCTAACCCCATTCACGGGGATCAATTCGCCCCTCTATGCGTCCTCCTTGGAAAAGTATTACCTGGCTACAATGAACATAAACTATTCAAGTCACTATTGGAACTCTTTGGGAATGGACAAGAGCAAAATAGTGATCGGTTTGCCGACGTACGGTCACACTTTCCGTCTAATGAATCCTAGAAACGAGGGACCGTATGCACCAGCCTCAGGTGTCGGCAAACTCGGTACCTTGGGGTTCGCAAGTTACCCCCAGGTTTGCAGTTTCCTACTGAGCAACCGCATCACGCCCGTATTCGACATGGAAACTTTGAGCCCCTACGCGTCCAAGTACTACGAGTGGGTATCGTTCGACGATGAGCAAAGTTTAACTTACAAGGCGGAGTTCGTGAGAAACAATAACTTTGGAGGCGCCATGATTTACTGTTTAAATATGGACGATTTCAAGGGCGCGTGCAAAATGGGATCCGGGCGCAAGTTTCCGCTCGTTTCGGCTGTCAGACAAGCGCTGGATGGCCAAGCGGGTGCTTAAACTTACGGTTACTGTTAAAAAGTTGGGTTATGTTACCCGAATATTGTTAGGACCACTTAAAATTTAATCCCTCCGCAGGCAGCTGACTTTTACTTAAGCGACCGACGCCAAAGCTTAGTACGAAATGACGATTTGTTGTACCAAAAATGACTGTGATAAAGATATTAAGTGTTTAAGGTTAGGGTTACCAGTGTTTAATACCAATTATTTACCAGGCTATTGTGCACAAATTCAAAAATCACTACAGTTTCTCCACGAATTTTGTTTTATTCCATATTCCAACCCTCAAATTTTCTTCGGCCTTATGTCAACCAAACCAACATAGACAATTTCTGAGGAATACTCTAGTATGCAACGCACGTGACAGATTAAAGTCTACGTCAAATAATCGTTAATTACGGGAAAACAATCGATTTAAAGTGAACCTTCAAGCTTTATTCCGCACAAGAACAAGCACTTACACGAAAACTAACCACATCGAAAGTAGCAAATAAAGAATGCATTTTACGCCGTCTAGTTTTGGTTAGCTTTGACAGCCTTTGCGAAACTCCCACCAAAGTATAGCGATTTGCGTAACAATGTTGGTATTATTTGGGAAAAAAAACATAACACGGTGCAATTCTACCAATAACAGACTAGAATTCGGTTTTTCCCATAGAAATATCGAATTATCCGTAATAACTGTAATTAATCCATAGAACATTGATATTGATACTTGGTTTGCCCCAGGACACCCAAGCCCGAATTCCTCACATCTATGCCTCAAGAATAACAGTTTCCTCGTCGTCCGATCGCCTTTGTCGCTGATACGACACGACGCTAGATGTCACGGCGAACGTCACCATTTAAATTCATTTTGAATTAGGTCTAGTAACTACGAACGTGGGTTACGCGCTCACCATAAATAATCCACTGATGTCTGGTGGACGATTTGGAGAATACGCCGCCGAAAATTTAAAACATCGTCCCAAGTTCTCTACTTTTTCGAGCGATATCCATTTGCGAATTTTAACGCACGCCACCACAGCTAGATGGTGCGACGCGTCAATTCGCGAATGTAGCCCGCAGACGGTTTGTGTCTGTACAGTTTCGGTTTTCCGCGATTTTTTGTCTGTTCCCGGGCGAAACAAAACGAAAAACGGATGCCGCACAAGCCTTAAGGGGCCTCCCTCATCTTTCGAAAGGGATGCCCGCCCCCGTGACGGTCAGAGTCGTCGAAAAATCGGCATTTTTTTAAGGTAAGCACCTATATCAGATTCCGATCAGAGTGTGTCTGACCTAATTTCGGATTTTTGCGTGATTTTGTCGTCTCTTCGCCTTTACTCTTTTCGACTGGCTGCCGTATCGCGTGCCCGTCTCGTTTCAGTCTCGCGACGGTCTCGGTGGAACGTGGAGTTTTCCGTAAATTAGCGGCGGTTCGTTTTTTAAGGTTATTTTTGCACACACAGCCACACGCGAAGGCTCGAGCGGTATGTAGTTTGGCGAAGAAGTCACCGGGAACCGGCGTGGGGCGCAGCACAAAAAAAACTGCAGCGCTAACTCTTTCGGTGTACAAATATCGTGTTCCCGCGTGGCGGGTCCCGCCCCCGTCGTCTCGAAGCTCTTTTTATATTATGTAACTGGAACGGTATGTTCTCTGGCTATTTTTCGCCAAAAGTGTCTGCCGCCTAGCAACAGACGAACCGGAGCGTATCGAAAACCCTGTATTATATCTACGCGATTTTTCGCCACAGTTTAAACATTTTACGGCCCACCGTCAACCCGGCGACTAGACTGGACAAAAACAGCCTTCCGTGATTTTTTTCGAAGACGGGTGGCGGCGGTTCCGTGGTCCATGCCGCGCGTTTCAATTCGACCGTTATCGAGAGTGCCGTGCTCGATCGTTTAAGTCAAGAGTCTAATTTGAAAATCGAATTCCGACGCGAGCCGGAATCATGCGGTTCGACGCGACAGGCGGTGAAAAAATTAAGTGAAGTTTCAGGGTAAGTTTTGAACCCGTCCCTCGAGCGAGAGACTAAGTTAAATGAGTGTGCTTGGCAATGAAAGTCTACTTGCCTTCGACGCAACTCTCCCCCACCCCCTAACAAACCAAGTATGGACGAAACGAGTGTGCTTTGGATATTCCGTAATGTCAAACATCGACGTAGACCGTTACTTTATTTTAAAATAAGAGACGATAGGATCGAAAACCGAAGCGACGGATCCCTCACGTGTTACCCCATATTTAGAAAGGGCGGTTACTCGCAGCGGGATCCTAGGAAGCCCCATAGAGAAAGGTAGGGTTCCCTATTGTTGTCCACTCCACCCTATAGGTCTGCCCCGGTCGTTCTCCCCTACCAATTTTCCTATTTTTATCAGTGTTCATCTTGTGCGTGCGGGGTGGGTAGTGGTGGTGTGCGACCATTTTAGGAGGGTTTTTGATGCGGCGATTCGTGCGTTTCGGCTGGGGCTGCGGGAGGGGGGCTCTGGCTTTAAATTCGTTCCGTTTTCTGGGTTGACTTTGGTTAAAAAAATCAGGTATAGATCAGGGGCGCGCGGGTATTAAAGACGTAATATTCATTTAATCCAAATGTTATTTTGAATAATTTCTTGAATTGTTAACAGATGTAACTTGAGGACATATATATTCTTATCCGCAATTAAACTGTTTGCTATATCGAAAATTAAGAAGTAGTTAAAAAATTGGCCAAATGAAATTTTTGCTTCGGGAGTAGAAAAAAAAATATTCCAAAACATACAGGATGCTTTATTAAAAAAACGAAAGTTTTGTTTATATGTGAAAATTTGTGAATTTCAAAAGAAAACCGGCTGTGTTTTGGATCGTACGTAAAAGAACGATAGACCAGTTTTCACTTTTTTGATAAGTTAATTTGTAGCCGAACTGCAAATGGTCCCTAAGAAGGTAAATTTTTCAAAATTATCTTGTATTTAAAAATTCCAGACAGCTGTGACATTTCTGTTTGTGGCAACTTTTATTTCATACAAAAGCAGCTCGGGTGGAACACACTGAACATTTAAACACATTTTTTATCTATACATACAGTAGTTAAAATTTGCCAAATTGACAATTTTTTAAAATTTTTAAATAGTATATGAATAGCACTGTGACATTTTTTATACTGTTATTCTGAAATGCAGAATTAAATGTAAACAACTTTTTGAAAGTAAAGGCCTAGGCCCCTAAAAGACTCCTGTTTGCTTGCTATTGAAGATTATTACAGTCTACTTGCATTAATTTGTCATTCGTTTTTTTTTAAATTTATATATATATGTAAATATATTAATTTTTAGGTATTAACTATAAAGTTTATTAATATAAGAAATAAAGCTTCTACCTAATTTACCGAAAGGAATTCTTAAAAGTTCATGAATGATTTGCGCGTTCACATTAAGCTTCGATATTTACCAATGGACGTTCATTCTGTGACAACCAACTCCAACTTTTACATGTGATATCCCGTATGTGTTCAATATGTGACAAGGGTCGACAGATTCTGAGCCCGCAAACCAGAAAGTGGCTTTTTTCACTGAAAACGACCCGATCACAGTGAATCTATGACTTGTCATCATGTCTGATTGTCTCTGTTGTGCTGTGCAGCAGTGGCCTATCATTTTTTCTTAAAAAGTATTAAAATCGATAGTTATTTTAAAAATGTCACCCTATATATCTCGAGATTTGATGGTTTGTTGACCTACGTTCGTGTGACGATGATTTTAAAAGTACGACAACGAAGTAGCAGAAAGCAGAAAGGGGAGGAACGGGGAGAATCCCTGTCGGACGACGACACTATAAACGGAAAAAAATCATTTTGTTCTTACGAGTCTCGAACCTGGTTAACGTAATCGTATTCAAACTGTCCGCGATTCGAAACCGACTGGCATTTTGCATATGTATGGCGCCCCCTATACGGTCGCCTCCGAAACGAGTTTCCGGATTTTTATCATTTTGCTTAATGCAGTGGCGTACTTGTTTTTTCGATAATATAAATTACCTATAGGTTGCCGCCGGAGTTCTTAATCTGGATCCAATCGTGTCAGAAGTCGCCTCTTTTATATTACGTGAGTATTATACAATAAACGAATCCAAATTGCCAAAAGAGTTTTTGATATGTTTACGATATAAATGAAAAACTGCATATTTACCTTTTTTTTGTTAAGAAGTATATCCACTTTAATATAGTTAATATTGACATCTTGTTTTTGATTGCCAGCACCATGCAGTGCATAAACATCGATATTCAAAATTTTTATAGAAAATCCATTAAACATACCGTAAAAATTAGTGATATTAAATCAAAAAGTTTATTTATCGTCGGAATTATTTCTCAATTGCAATTTTATCAAACTTTATTTGCATTTGTTTAGAGTTGTTAGACCTAGCAGAACAAAAATCGTTGTTAATGTCTATGTGATACCAATTAGCAACGTAGGTATTACACAGGTCGTTCCAACGGCAATGTTAAATTTTATTTTTTCTCTTTTTGTTACAAGGTGGACGTTTTAAAAAAAAAAATAACTCGCCGAATAGATAGCCCTTCTTCGCCACCTCGCGTTCCGCCCTTTTCTCACGGCGGCAGCAGCCACGTGAAAGCAGTAATTTTTACAGACAGCCAGAAAATCCGTAGCTTTTCTCTCGCGTCTCGTCGGGTGTCGATTTAGGTGCTCCGCTTCCCCGTCGTTGTCTCCACTCCGTTCGATGGGTACCAGGCATGTGTGGACAAAAAGTTTATGCTATTCTTTTAAACAGAACTTGAAAATAAAAAAAAAGTCGTATTTTTCTTTTGCGCTGGGTTTGAGCATTTTTATTTAGGATCAATCAACGTACGGATGAATACCCGGTACATAGATATAATAAATATAAATTAAATTAAAAAATACATCTAGTGTTAGGGACAAATCGCACGTTCCGGCAACGTCGCATACAACCGACACCGCAGCATCACAGCTGATAATGAACCGTCTAATTTTGTGTTTTGGGTTCGACCCGGGTCCGTGCCCATATATGGTCAAAAATAAAATCTCGCAATGTCAACACGTGTGTGTTTGATTTCTACTCGAAAATCACAAGAAATGAAGCCACGAATGTAGAGTTGTAACATTAAACGACTCAACATCTAGCTAGCGTCTTATTATTTATGAATGACTTGCCCCCTATTATGTATACAATATATGGTTTAACGTTTGCGTTGCCCGATTGATGCTGCGACTGGGTTTTTTTCAAACGGCCCAAATTTACTTCGTTTCTAGACCACCGAGCCGGACCAACACCGTAACGTTATATAATAATGAAGCCGGACGAGGCCCTCTGCCCCTACCTCCCTCTAGCCCCTCAGGGGACTCATTTTGCTTAACCCCTACATAGGGCACGTCCGACTTTAAACCCCCCTTCCCTCGTCTCAATACCCCCGCCATTTACGCAGGTTTCTATATACCGATCGATTCCCTGTCGGGTTACAGGGTGTTTCCGGTAACCATGGTCCTAAAACGAAAGATGAGTGACGCTATGTTATGCACCG